TTTGAAAAGTTTGCATTGACTCTCACAGTCTCTCAAGCCGAAAAATCCAGATAAGGTCGGGTTTTCCTGGTGGCAGGTTCTTGTCACCGTAGCGCAGTTGGGAAGGCGCTTGTCTACAGCACAGATAATCCGGGTTCGACTCCCGTAGTCGCCACTCAACTTTGACTTTTGTAACTTTTGATTTGAAATGGCATAATCTATTATTTTTTCAGACTTTTAAAGTAATTTCAGTTTTCTTGGCTCAAAGACGGCTGAGAAAAAGCCCGTGCAGACGGACAGACACTGCTCTTTTATATATGTTACGTCCGAATCTGAGGAGACGTCCATCTCCGATCCGGACGTCCGAATCTGAGGAGATTCATTCTCCTCTGAAATTCTCCTCTGAAACGGACGCCCGACTCAGAGATGGACGTCCGTTTCGGAGGAGAATGAATCTCATCAGATTCGGACGTCTCCTCAGATTCGGACGTAACATATACAATGTGTCCGTTTACGAACTAATGTTCAGATCGGATCCGGACATTCTTTTACAACGTTAAGATAAGATAAATCTTCCTTAACGGATGGTTTATCTTAACTAAAGTGCTAAAGTGCTGAACAAAAAACTGGAATTATATCTAATTTGACTGGATTTAATCGAAAAATTTGATAAAATTCTTTGTGAAATGACTTTTCTAGGTAAAAAGAGGAAAAAGAGGTTCCAAAATCGGACGTAGCATGTATAATAAATACTCTTGTTATGTGTGTCTTGATGTGTTTTCCACGCTATTCTTGTGGAAACAACAGAAATAGTCTTTCAGTTGCCAAATAAGTGAATGGCGACTCGTTAGTGGCATTGCAAGGGGTTTTTTTTGAAAGAAATGATCTTTCGTCGACCCCTCCCCTTCTTTCCATTTCAATTCGACATTTTATCCTTCTTTCCTTTCTTGTTTTTCCACCCATAAATGCAAAGAACTCATTAAACTCAATTTCTCTTCAATAACATAAACTCTTTAATAGCATTACTTATAACAAACTTAATAACAAACTCTTTAATAACATAAACTTTAAATAAACACAAAATAAATCACAAAAAGATGGCCTTTTTGCTTTGCTTCGATTCCCAATGGACTTTCTCGTTGCCTGTGTGGCCTCTTGTGCCTGTGTGCCCCTCTTGTGCTCATTTTCAAAGCTTGTAATTAATGTAACTTTGATAATTAATGTAATTATAGGATACTTTGAAAAGGATAATTTGAAAAGGAAAAGGAAATCTCCTGTTAAAAGTCTTGATTCGAAAGAGGTCATTTGTGAATCGATTCGCTTCGAATTACCTACTTGTTTACGCAATAAAAGGTAGTGCTCCCCGAAAAGGCACCTGTTTTATTTTGAGAGGAAACACTTGTCCATAAAAACTTCTGTTCAGCTAGCAATTTTAGCGATCTTTGAGATTTTTCTTTTCTAGACTGCGTGCTGTCCAAAATGAGTCGCCCCAAGCATTTTTTTTTTGCTTCAAATTTTCGCTTTCCATAGAGAAATCTTTTACGACGGGGCCACAATTTCATAATTGCTTCTCTTTCTAGAAAAAACAATCAGAAATTCATTTTTTTTGAACACTTTACTATTCGAGAATTTGTTAATATCAGTTTGATCAGTTTGGCCACTTTACTTCTCAGTTTGGTCACTTTACTTCTTCAAAATTGACCAGTTTATCATCGTTAACCAATCTTTTTTTGCAATTCTTTGCAAATCTTTGCAAATCTTTGCAAATTGGAAACAAAAATTGGAAGATTTCACTTAAAATAACTCTTCACTCATAACTAAACTCAAGCTGGGTCTGATATGCTCGAATAGCGCCTTTGAAATGAAATCTAGCTCTAGCCAATATCAGACTGATATGAAATCTAGCTCTAGCCGGGCCAAAAACCTACTAACCTTTCCTTTTCTTTACTTTAACATTTAGTTTTAATGTTTGATTGGCTTTAAATACTGGCTTGGCTTGCTGGTTGACTGTAACTCTGTGGTTGACTGTAACTGTTGTGTAGTAGCTGCTGAATGGTACTGTAATCTGGATCAAGGATGTGTCTAGCCTGTTCTAAGATCTAGAAGCTACATCAGCAGGTCCATGCTCAGGTCCAGACTGTGTAAGTTTTTTGCAAAACACACACCAACTCTCACCGAATATGTGGACGAACGAACAAAGCGTTGTAGCGGGAGAAGATTGGAGAATATTTCTTTTGCGTTCTTTGCTGCTCCAAGTTGATCTCGAAGACAAGCAGTGATGTCGTTCTTCACGCGTTTAACTTGTTCCTCGTATCTATTTCGGGCAGCATCCCACGAAGCGTTCCCTTCAGGCGAAACATTCAAGCAGTCAGCTTCTTTCAGCCTGCAGTCAGTCAACGAAAATTGGAAGATTTCACTTAAAATAACTCTTCACTCATAACTAAACTCAAGCTTTGTGTCAATTTCTCTTTGTTCTCTTTGTTCTTTTTGCCATTTCAGCGGTTTTGCACAAAGTTTCATCCTCACTGAGTGCAACATTAGACGAGGAGGCTGTTTGGGGAAAGTTTTTGTCTTTTGTCGGAGAGAAATTCGAATCCATTGGCACGTCGGTGTGACGTGAGAGATCCGAGATTTCATGGGGAGGATCTGTTGAGAAGAGAACGGACAAAGATGGGTAAAAGAGTAGAAAGATGGGTAGAAGAGAGGTAGATGGGTAGATGGATGGGACACTGACCTCTTCCTCCCCTTTTTTTCAGTCTCAATTTGTTCCTCAGTTCTTTTTCTTTTTCTTTTTCATGGCTTTCCTTCAATTACGCATGCAAGTTGAATTAGAGCACCGATTTAGACTCTTTGAGGAGAGATACTAGGTAAAAAAGGAGAAATACTAGGTAGATGGAGACGAATATTGATTGGAGATTGGTTCAGAAGATAAAACTAGGCCAGTTCTTTCATAGGAAAGTTCAACAGTATAAAAAGACCAAGAGAAATGATACTCTTTGAATCATAAAAGGTTTTGAACAACTGGCAAGACAAGTACCTGGATGAGAACAGGTAGAGAAATGCCAAAGTAGTTTCCCAATTGCTTGAGATCAACAGAAACTTCTGTTTAAACTCAATAAATGCAACAATCTCCTCAAACCAAACCACAATCTAACCTTAACAAAAGAGAAGAAAAGATCCACTTTGTAATGCATAAGCCCTTCCCCTCTTTTCCATTTCCTTTTCCATTTCCTTTTCTCTCTTTCTCTCAAATTTTCCCTTTCTCTTTAAAGAAAAGCGGAACCAAATGTCCCTCTCAATCGCTTGTCTCTTTCTATTTTCCCCACTTCCTCTCCGAAAGAGATAATGGATAGATTAGTAACTTGTTTCGATTTCTCTAGTTAATCCTGTTTTCTAAAATATTCCTGAGAATCAAATTTTTTTTTGAAGCCTAGGACAATGTTTACATTGATTTTTTGATTTGATTTGATTACTACAAGATTTGTTTCAGACAATTGTCTAGGAATAAACTCGTTCTTCAAAGTGTACTTTGTACTCAAAGATTCTGCCTCAGAAACGGCCTTCTTGAGCACATTCAACCTGAAAAACAAGTCTGATTCCGACTAAATTCTTACAAAGCCACCGAGTCAAGCTTGACTTGAGACTTGGGACTCTTATAGAGTCGCCTTGGGATCTCAAATCCGTTTTTAGTTTTCGCAGAACGCGAGATATCTAAATTTTCAAGTCAAAGTCAAAATTCTCAAGTTCTCAGTAAATTCTCAAGTCTCAAGTCTCAAGTCAAAGCCAATGTCAATGGCCAGCTTGACTCTGTGCCTTTCCCTTGTTAGTAAACAGAGAGCTATCTCAATATCACTGTTCATCTTATTCTTTAAACTCTCCCACTTTGAAGCCATCTCTTTTGCGAATCTTGTGACTTTTTCTGGGTTCTGTTCATCGATGAGAATGTGCGAAAATTGACTCGACTTGGGTTCAACTCTGCCTCTTTTTTCCCTTCAAAAAAAGTCGAACGTTCATTTGACCCCGAATTTTGCTTCTTTTCCATCTCAGTTACTCAAAGAGTTGAGTTTAAAAAATTTCGAAAAAAGAATAGAACAAAGACTTTATCGTACTCAGAAATGAGCTCTTTATGAGTTCTTTATGAGATATTTGCTTAGTTCTGAGATAATCTCAGCTTACACTACTGGACAATGAAATATCATATTTGAAAAAAGATCGTCACTTTCGCTCGTTTGTAACTCCCTTGTCTTTACCGTATTTCTAAATATTAATATTACCATTGTGTAGCCCTTGAAAAGAGCTTTCAGAAAATATATAACACTAATAGTTTAAACGCAAAGACAAGGGAGTTACAGATGCGCGAAAGTGACGATCTTTTTTCAAATATGATATTTCATTGTCCAGTACTGTAGTTCTGATGATACTCATAGATATTGTTAATTCTTCATTTTTCAAATCAATATTACATTTAAATCCTGTTTTTATCATGAAAGATGAGTAAAAATTGTGGATTCTCATCCCCTTTTCTTTCTCTTTTGCTCATTTTTCCCCTTCTGAATCATAATCATTGAGAGACAATGAAATTACAGAAAACGTCAATGAATGCATTGATTCAGTTCATTTCACATGAACAATTTGATCTTAGGATTATTTCTTTCAATGGATAGAGCTTGATTTTCAATGGATAGAGCTTGAGTCAATGTCATGTGGTTATATAGGAAAAAGGAGGAAAGTTTTGAAATTTTGAGGAGACTGATTTGCTTTCATTGCTGTCTTTTGCTGCTGCTGCTCGTGCTAGATGTCTCAAGGATATCTTCCGTATTCTCTCTATAGTAGTGCACTCCGTTGAGCCGAGTTTTCGACTATTCTACGGTTTTGAAGTTCATTGCTCTCTTTCATTATTTTCATGTCTTCTTCTTTGATACCATTTACCGTTACCATTTTTTTTTTCTTTATTAATCAATTTCAGAAGCACGTTTATCCCCGAATTGGTCTTTCTCTTCCCAGAGCCATCCGCCGGGGTGATGTACCCGCATTGGGTTTTATTATTACTTTTTTGTCTTTTAATTGTCATTGCTTTATTCGGTAATCTTCTTGTTTGTGCCGCTATTTTCTGGGATCGACATTTACGGTTCGTTTACATCAAATGGCTTATAGAAAAAAAGAACACGAAAACTTTTATTAGCAACATTCGTTCGGCTCTAGAACTCTCGGAAATTTACCCCACGTGTGTCGTATAATAAAAAAAACGTAGAGAAAAAAGTATAGCGCATGATTTGACTTTTTGAGCAATACTTTTTGAGCAACAAAGCAATTTTGCATAATAGATAGAATGACGTTGACTTATAAACAAAAAGGTTTACAAGCCTTAACCAGAGACTTCCAGAAGACAACCAGAGAATCTCTTCTTGGTGTCGCTTGCAATTTCCGATCTTCTCGTATCAATTCTGGTAAGTAAACATGAAAATGTTCACGTTTTTGTTAACAAAGTGATTTCAGGTGATGATCTTTGCAGCAGCATCAGATCTCCTCGGTCAATGGCCATTCGGGAATGCGTATTGCCAGTTTTGGGTGGCCTTTGACATCACAACATGTACAGCTTCAATTCTAAATCTCGCTGCAATTTGCCTTGATCGATACTGTCATATTAGTCGACCGATGGTTTATGTGAGGTAGGGAATTGGGATTTTCGAGCACGATTTTGGCCTTTGCTAAGTCAAATCTAGCGTTCTTTGGCTAGATTGGACTTGCTTTGGCTAGATTGGCTAGCCAAAGAAGGCTAGATTGGCTAGCCAAAGAAGGCTCAGATTGGCTAGCCAAAGAAGGCTAGATTGGACTTGCTAAGTCCAAATCTGAAATAGAAATGGGTTGAGGTTGATCGAAAAACGCTGAACCCGTCAATTTATCTTAACGGATTTGAAGAATGTCTTGTTTTTCGTTTCCATGATTTCTTATTTATGGCCGTTCGCTTCTTGGTTTATCTGGGGTGAACCTTGAAAGGTTTATTCAAGAAACACAAAAAGAAAGAAAAAAGAAGAAAAGAAAGACGAGAGAGATTGCGAGAGAGATTGATTTGTGTCTCATTTGTAAACGTCGCACTTCAATCCCCCCTTGTCTTCTTCTTTTTCTATTTTCTATTTTCTATTTTCTATCAGTCTATGCCTCAGTCAACAAATTTATCGGTTTAGCTTTAGGGGAAACTCTCGAAAAACAACTCCTTTTAGAGACCACTGCAAATTTTGTTAGGCAATAGAATTTGTTGATGCGAAGTGTATTGGGAAAGTTCGATCTGTGAAAACTTGGCTTTAGCATTATCTCTACCATCTTTAGCTTTATCATAGTTAGTTGGATCGTCACTACCCTGTTCCCTTAACTCAGTTGAGCTTTGAATTGACATCCATGCATCTATGCATCCATTGGCACCCATTCATTTTTCCCCTTTAGAGCTTCTATCGGTTAAGGGCCAGGCTTCGGGAGACGCTCGAAGAAGTGATGATCCAAGAATCAAGAGTAGATTCAATAAGCGAGATCTCTTGAATTTGCGCTTGAAACTGAACTCAAATCGACTTAAATACGTAAATACTGTAATCGTTTATTACTTATTACGTTTATTGCGTTGATTACTACGTTCAGACTCGTTCCCAAACGAGTCTGGATGTAGAACACCCGATTTTCTGTTCTGCGGTTTATCAATACAAGTTTATAAAACACGCGTTTATTACCGCAAAGAAGATGAAACAATAAAAGGTGTTCAAGAAAAAGTTCTCCATTTCAACTCTGTAAAAGTTTACATGGCTCAAGGTGATGGTCTTGGTGTCAAAGCTGTTATTGACGTCACGAATTTTTGCTTTTTAGGAGATTTTCCTGATTACATGACCTGAGTACATGAAAAATTCATCACCATCACATCCCCATCGTCACAACAACAAAATGAAAAATTAGTTATAGGCATTGAAGCGTCCAAAGCTAATAGTAAAAAGATATTTGCTTAAAAAATCTAAAGTTCTTGAGAAAAAGTGGACTTTAAATGAAGGTGGTGGACTTAGTGGTGGTGGTGGTGGACTTAGTGGACTTAGTGGTGGTGGTGGTGGACTTAGTGGACTTAGTGGTGGACTTGGTAGTGGACTTAGTGGACTTAGTGGTGGTGGTGGTGGACTTAGTGGACTTAGTGGTGGTGGTGGTGGACTTAGTGGACTTAGTGGTGGTGGTAGTGGACTTAGTGGACTTAGTGGTGGTGGTGGTGGTGGACTTAGTGGACTTTAAATGAACAGTAAAACAAAGCTGAAATTTGTTGTTTTGGTGGTGAAATGGTGTAATCAAAAAAATGTAATCAGGAAAATCTCCAAAAGATCACAAAAAATTGTGACGCTTTGACACCAAGACCACCACCTTGAGCCACTTCAACTTTGTCAGAAATTTGAGTTGAAATGGGGAACTTTTTTGAAACACTCTGCGAACCACTCACCATTGTGCCACTTTACCAACTGGCAAATTTCACGCGAGCAGAATTTAAATAAGAAAAAGAGAGGACGAGGAGATATTCAGTTGGGTTCACTGAATATCCAATACAAGGGAATTTAAAAAAACACAATCTAGACTAAGCGACTAAACAAAAACACAATATACACTAGAAAACATTAACATTTTACCAGTTAATTCAGAGTTATTTTGAATGCTCAAACAAGGAAACGATTGGTTAATGAACCTTACCCCGAATAGCTGAATTTTTGCAAAAAATTTCCCTCTCTCATCTATTTGAAATCCTTTGGGAAAACGAAATCGAATTTCTCCTAAATGGTGAGCGATTTTCGATGTGTTTCTCTGACATTTTGGGGACTCGTCTTGCTTTTTAAACGGGTTGAGAACTCCCCGGACAACAAGGAACTCTTCCCGTTTACTTTTTGGTAGACGGGAGCATCCCCTTGTCCCAAAATCACATCAACCTGCCGGAAAGAGAGAAAAAAAAAGTCTCCCACACAAGAGTTTTGGGTCAAAAGTGTTTATTGGTCGGCAGAAAAGTTGGGGAGAAGCTTTTAAAAGTGATTTGTGAAGGGTGACAAGGATTTGAGTAAAGATTTTGATTTTGAATTTAGATATTGCAATCGAAGACGGATATCTTATGGGATCATTCTCGTCTGGGTGCTCTCGGCGTTGATTGGAGCGGCGCCGCTTGGATTTGGTTTTGGATCACATGTTACATGGGATTTGTAAGTTTGTTAGTTCACTTTGTAAGTTTTCTAGTTCACTTTGTAAGTTCTTTAGTTCACTTTGGTCTAATTTCTAACATAAACCTTATAAAAAAAAAATACATTTATTGAAAACCAATAATGTGATACAAACAAAGGGTACATAATAAGACATAAAGGTTAAACACACAATTTTATGGCACTGCGGCCGTTCTCACCCCTATTTACCCCTATTACCCAAATGTTGTGAAGGAAAAAAACCCACTTGGTGGGAAACTTTTTCTTGCCAGAGTGATTGAACCCTCGACCTTCCGCTTAAGAGACAAGACTCCTAACCGGTCGGCCCTCTGGCCATTATCTTGCAATATTTTTAGGTTTTGAAACAGGGATTCATTTCCCAGAAACTTTTAGACATTTAGATTTTCCCAATTTCCCAATTTAGACATAACAAGACAGCTTGTGAGATGAGACTGCCACTTGCATATGCCGTGTGCAGCTCGATGCTTTCATTCTTTGTGCCCGCCGCTGTCATGGTGAGTGAGGGGTTTTGATTGAAAATGAATAGAAATGAATAGAAATGAATAGAATAGAAATTGAAACCTTGATTCAAGTAGAGTAATCTGAAACGAAAACGATTTAAGTCTTTTCAAAGTATTAAGCCTGTGAATAAGCCTTTTCTTTTTGTACTTTCATTTAAAACCAATGCATTAATTGAACTAACGTTGGAACTAGAGCAAATCAAAAACTTGTGCGTCGCCGGGACTCGAATCTGTGACTTTTTGCTTACCGGGCAATTGTGCTAACCACAACACACTTGACTCTTACTCCAGAAGAAGTTAACTCTACGGTTTCAACAAAGTAGTCTAGCTTTGAACGAGTTTTTCTCGACACTGGTTTATGCTACAATGCGTGCTTAGGTATCAAAAAATAGCCCTGAATTTCAGCTATTTTTTGATACCAAAAAAGCAATTTTTGAAAGTACGGACGCTTTGAAAAAATGAAATACTAAAAACTGTACGAGAAGATGAATACTATGACAGTTTCACGGTATCAATTAACCTAATTGATAAATTTGTTACTTTTTAACAACAAAAGTACAAAAAAGAACGAAAAGACTCATTCACCAATCTAAAAATCAAAAGATTGTGACGTTTTGACATTATTTTTAGGTATTCCTGTACACAAAACTCTACCTCTATGCTCAACGACATGTTCGCAGTATACAGACTCAATTGAAACAAGCCACATCATTTCTCATCATGCAATTAGCATCAGAAAAGATTCGAGAGGTCAGTTTCAAGAATTGAATCCATTCTCGACAACTTTTCCTTCTTCCTCTCATCACATTTCTGGATCAAAACTCTAAATCCTTTTTCGGAGTCAATGTTCACAATCCAACTTCTTTTATACAACAAATTCTCATCGATTTCTCTATCTTTTCTTCTCAAATTTCAGGACGAGGAAGCAGATAGTTACGAAGATGAAGTAAGCACTATTCGACTCCCGTAGACGATTATTTTTTCATTTTTTGCTCCCTCACTTCCAGCTAGATTGTTTTTTGCATTAAACAACAATCCTTTTTGAGTCCTTCTCTCACTTTCGCTTCCCCGAAAGAGTTTTTCCTTTTTATTATTTGATTTCCCAATAGTTGCATGAGTAGAAGAGATACTTAATATGTGTTTTCATGAGAGCAAACCTTTCCTGCACGATTTGAAAATACTGGGATGGGATAAATGGTGATTTTGGAATGCTGTGGTTAGATGCGGGGAGAGGGAGGTTATTGAATCGTTAGAAATGAATATAAGTACAAGGTTGTTAGTGATTCTAGACATCTAGACATCTAGACATTTCGAGTGTCTCCCCCTCTGCCCTCAAGTGCCCCCAAGTGCCCCCAAGTGCCCCCAAAAGCCCCCAAGTGCCACCAAGTGCGCCCTAAGTGTCCCCATGTGCCCCCAAGTGCCCCCAAAAGCCCCCAAGTGCCACCAAGTGCCACCAAGTGCGCCCTAAGTGTCCCCATGTGCCCCCAAGTGTCCCCAAAAGCCCCCAAGTGCCACCAAGTGCCACCAAGTGCCACCAAGTGCGCCCTAAGTGTCCCCAAGTGCCCCCAAAAGTGCGACCAAGTGCCACCAAGTGCGCCCTAAGTGTCCCCATGTGCCCCCATGTGCCCCCAAGTGCCCCCAAGTGCCCCCAAGTGCCCCCATGTGCCCCCCAGTGCCCCCAAGTGCCCTCTAAGTGTCCCCAAGTGTCCCCAAGTGTCCCCAAATGTCCCCAAATGCCCCCCTAAAGTGCCCCCTAGGGAGACACTTAGAGGGGCACTTGGGGGCAGAGGGCGGGAGCCTGAGGACACTCGAAATGTATACTTGCATCTATCTAAATCTAGCTAATCAATTTGTCTAAACATCTATCTAATCATCGATCAAGCACCAAAACCAGTCTTACAATTTAGACTTGGCAATGATCTAATAGTAACCAGTAGATAACCAGTAGATAACCAGTAGATAACCACCAGTAGACCCACTATTCAACTCACTCTTGATCTGTTTTAAACGCTCTACACTTTCACACTCAATCTTGAGCTTACTCTTAAGACTCACCCAATCCTTGAGTTTATTCTTAAGTTCCGACGCTTTTCTAGAAGTGGTGGTTGGTCAGTGTTTGATTGTCCATTGAAAAAGGAAAAGAATGAAAGCTTTGTCGTTTCATTCACGGGCTGACAATCACTGGGAGATATTCTCTGCTTTGGGCTGGGGCTCCAATACTGTCGCAAAATGAATTTTCTCAATGAAAATCGTTTCTTCACGCAAAATTCCAGGCCACAGCAGCTACACTGAGAAACGGAACTGCGGCACCGACTCCTCCATCCCCAAAGGAACTTCTCGAGGATGTGGTAAGTGTTAAAAGAAAGAAGCTTTTGGTGAGCATGCTTTACAAAGTCAATAAAGATTACTTTTTGAATGCCAAGCTAATAAACAATGCCAAGCTAAACATTGCTTTTTCAGCCCAGAGGCAGCTCATTTTGGGATAAATTCACAAGAGTGTTACATGTCCGAAGAAATCCAGTCAGTGAAGAAGCTCAACAACAACAAAGAAACACTGTCAGCGATCAAAAAGCAAGGTAAATTTAAAGGATTTAATTTTGAGCTATTTTGAGCTATTTTTATCTCTGAAAACCAAAAGCTGTTAGATGATCAATCAAATGAAATGAGAGGTCAATTTTGGGTATCTCTTTGGTATCTCCTTCGAAGCTCGTTTTCTCAAAAGAACAGTTGTTTCGGGGTTTTTTTCGAAGTGAAAGGAAAGGAAAGGAAATGAAACTAAATGGATCGAAAAGATTAGAAGGTTATCGGGTTTGACAAATAATAAACTTTAGATTAACGTTGGGTGTGATTATGGGAACATTTCTTTTCTGTTGGACTCCGTTCTTCTTGGTGAATATTTGGAGATCGTGGAGTCCGCATGATATCAATAAAGAAGCTGTGCAGGTAAACAGTCAAGAAATCGAATTCAAGAAATCGAATTTAAGAAATCGAATTCATTTCTAATTCAAAATCGAATTCAGGCTGTCACCTGGTTGGGCTATGCAAATTCAACAGTGAATCCCATCATCTACAGTATATTCAATCGGGATTTTCGCAGAGCATTCAAGAAGATCATCGTCAAATTGTTCAGTTGCTTTGATCGAGGCAAACACGATTATGGGTGAGTTGAGTCATCAAAAACATCAAAAAAGCATTTTAACAAAGATCAAAATGATCTAATCTAATCTGTTTAAATAAAAAGGTTTTCAGTCTTGTGACTAAGCTGTAATTGCTGCTTACCGGGTGAGTAGGTATTTTTTTGCAAAACCTGCAATTCCCCCTTGAAATGTAACCCTTTGCCAATCAATCTCATTAACTTTCCAAACGCAGAGCATCGCAAAGCATGCGTCTTTTCTCCCAGAAGTTATTTATTTTTATTTATTTATCAACTTGTTACTAATTTTCTGATCCTTGACATCTTTCTGATCCCTTGGGGGTGGGACAAATGCGACCTTTTTTGCGCACCAGGACATTTGCGCACCTTTTTTTGCAGGAAAAGGCCTTAAGAAAGGTCGTAGAGCTTCAAAAATGTTTTCATAGAAGGGAATCGTATGCGTAGATTCCGAATTTCGACAAATCAGACTTCGCTGACACGTCAAATTTGGGCTAAAAGGCAAAAACTGCGGAAAAGCGTTAAGTTGTGTAGTTTTTGCCGTTTAGCCCAAATTTGACGTGTCAGCGAGGTCTGATTTGTCGAAATTCGGAATCTACGCATACGATCCCCTTCTATGAAAACATTTTTGAAGCTCTACGACCTTTCTTAAGGCCTTTTCCTGCAAAAAAGGTGCGCAAATGTCCAGGTGCGCAAAAAAGGTCGCATTTGTCCCACCCCCGATCCCTTTTCTACTGAATTCATAAAGAAATTTGTATCAATCAACTGATCCAAGATGTTGCAACGAACGAAATAAATTCAACTAGGTCAACGCGGAGTCAATAATATTAAGCTGTCCAGAAGGTTTTTTCGTTCCTTTTCATACTCTCGCTTAAAGCCAACAAATTCACGAATTAACCCATAGTTTGATCTAAATAAACCTTAAAGTTGCTACCCTTAACGAGGCCTCGTTAAGGACGGCTCGTTAAGGACGGCTCGTTAAAGACAGCTCGTTAAGTATCGATAACCTTTTAGGAGTACCTTTTGAAGTTTTTTTTCTTAAATGCTTGGTATCAAAATGAAGCTAATATTCTAGGCTTTCTGATAGAAAAAGTTTCAAATTGCTAGCAACTTTCAGTGCGCTGATATGACTATTCAAACTTGAAGCCTCGTTAAGCCTCGTTAACAAGTCTAAAAAGAATTAATAAAGTTACTTGCTGAGTTTTGCTTCATCTTGTCGAGAGCTATGAAGTAAAGAAATTATATTTAAAAAGTTCCTTTTCATAATTTCGTTGAAAAATAACAAATTCACGAATTAACCGGTTTGATCTCAATAAAAAGCGTTTCTTGTTCAATTTTCATCTTTTTAAGTCAATTTTGGTCCACTTTCAAGCGCAAATTCGAGAGTAAAAAGGAACGAAAAGACTTTCTGGAAAGCCTAATACACCAACTCATTCTTAACCAATCAAGATCTTCAACCTTTTAGCCGTTGTATCGCAAATTTGAGAGTGAAACCACAGATTTCTTTTGTAAAAATCTATAAAAGCCTCGACGAAGAAATTGGCTGGCTCAATTTCTTTGAGAATTTCGCTATATACCGAACTTTTTGTGCTCTATCTTTCATCCATTAACACCAAGATAGATTTCCTTAGCGAAAGTGTAAATGGCTTGGCTCAATTTCTTTCTAATGAAACAAACCGTAGTTCAAATGATACATTTGCTAGTTTTAAGTTGTTTTGTTAAGTTGGAAAAGGAACGGAAAGATTTTCTGGAGAGCCTAATATTACTAGATACCTTAAAAAAATTGGGTGCTTTAACCGTGGAACGGGTACCTTAAGAAAACCTTAAGAAAGCGGGTACCTTAAAGGAAATGGTGATGTCCAACAATCAGTTTTCGACAACTTACTTTCCTGCAACAATTCTCCCAGCAACACTACCTGAATGCCCAAACAAAATCCAATCCGACTCTTTCCCAAGTACTGACTATTCTAATCTTGGCTGACTAATCTAAATCTTGGCTGGCTAATCTAAATCTTGGCTGACTAATCTAAATCTTCTAAACTTGGCTTGCCGACTTTTTCCAATGTTGTCTTGATCACGGCTTGATTATTTTTGTGGCATTGTTTCCTTCGAACTTCGAACATTTTTGTGGCATTGTTCCCAGAAAGCACTTGTCCAATTGAAAGTTGGTTCGTGAATCACTGAATAAGGTACCCGATTTTCTTAAGGTACTGGTTAATGTACCCAATCTTTTAAGGTACACTTTTAAGGTACCCCTTCTTGAGATACTGATTAATGTACCCATTCAAGAAGGGGTAAAAAAAAGAAGAAGAGTCTCTCTTGTCTCTCTTGTTTAGGGTACCCGTTAAGGTACTTAGTAACAGAAAAGTCGAAATTTGTATCGATCAACCATAACGAGCAAAACAAGCGCAAACCAGGTCAACTAGGAATCATTAATAGTTTAAGACGTGTTAAAAATGTTAATTTAACTTTGTTAATGCTGTTATTTGAATGCATGATAAAATAAACGTTCAGGTGTGTTCGCAATGGAGTCACTGATGGTGGATTGGCTGATCGAAAGCGATCATACACTCGATCATCCGAGACACCCGAGAATAACAATCAAAATCGAACTGATGCTGTGGCTACTCGTCTCGTTCTTCTAAACAATAACGAATCATCGGTGATTGTTGAAGAATGATCTTTTAAAGTGAAGCTTGACCTTGACTTTTAAACATTGACCAAGTGTTAACTCGGGTTTGTTGAAATCTTGAGAGATTTTCCAGAAATTGTATCAAAACGTTTGCTTTTTCGGGTTTTCCTCCTTGTTGCTAGTCACTTTTTGATCTCTTTATCATTCAAAGCTTCTTCTTTTCTTTTTTTTCTTTGCTTTTGTTTTCTCAATCCTTTCTTCATCGATTCTTGCCCGCTTTTCGTGATCCGTGTGCTTCTTTCATTTACGGGTAAAACAAAAACCACAAAATTGTATTTTTGTACTTGTTTTTTTCTAATAAATTTTAATTATGGCTTTAAGATAAGGCTTTAAGATAAAGCTTGAAGAATTTTAATGGCTTAAGTACACACAAAAATAACAAATCGAATATCTATTGGGTTGGTGAATTGAAAACTGCGGGCTATTGTCATATATGACAGTTTGAGCACTTTCTTCAAAAGAAACCCATTTTGGTGTCAATAGAAAAGTTGTAGAGAATCAAAAATCAAGCTTATATCCAAATTTTCAGAACGATTCAAAAACTGGTTTTCAAGAAATGGGTTTTCAAGAAATGTCAAATTTACGAATTTTCACAAAACTTGCATTTTAAGCGAAACTACCAAGTGTATCTTTTTGGAAATTTGGCTATAAACCTAATTTTTGATTCTCTACAACTTTTCTATTGACACCAAAATGGGTTTCTTTTGAAGAAAGTGCTCAAACTGGGACATCTCCAATCTCCAGTCCTCCATTTTTGAGTCTCACACTTGTCTCACACACAAACCAAAATCCTACTACGAAAGAGGAATCCGCAAATTGCCTGTAAAATGGGCAGGAGTCGTCAATAATAATGGAAATTATTTGGAATGTATTGATGGTTTTATGTTGAATAAATTTTAGTTCAAAGTCCGGCAGTTTTCAATTCACCAACCCAATAATAGCTAAAAATCTAACAAATCAACAAAAATGACAAATGCTTTTTTTTCAGCCACGACCAGTATTGCCTTTTTACTCTGTTTCAGTTTCAGTTCGTTTCAATTTCTTATAAAAAATTTTATTTGCATGAGATCTTGTTTCTATGAAACAAAATAAACACAGAGAAAAGACAGCCAAACCCAAAAAAAGCCAAAAAAAGCAAAAAAAGCCAGCCAAACATTCACTAATCCATCCGAAAGAATAAACGAATTTTTCGATGCCGAAAAAGAGACCAATCAGCGGCTACGAAGTAAGATTGGCTCGAAAGTTGTAGCAAAATATATAGGAATATTTTGTGATGTACTTTCTTAAAGCCCAACAGCTTTAAAAGAGCTACAAACAGCTTGAAATTTTGTTCAGAACTGGCACCAGACTACACGCCATTTTGAACACAACAACGCGACTTTGCAAGATTTTATTCCCCATTTCGCAATCACTGGTATCTTTCTCTATTCGATTTCGATTTCAGTTCTCTTTGTTCTTTGCTTGAAATGTCTCCAAATTGAGGAATGAGTCACATGATGGGGATCCCTTGGGGGATACGCTCTTCCCCTTCTACTTCCCTCACTTCCACCCTCTCCCCTTCTACTTTCCTCACTTCCACCCTCTTCCCTTCTACTTCCCTCACTCCACCAAATACCCCAGATTTGTGCCTCGATTGAGCCTCTCCTCAAATTTGACTCAATACTCTAGTAAAGTCAAGAATAAACTTTAGATTTTCTTAATTTACAAAGTGTTTCACAATGAATCCGTTTTTTATAGTACCCAATTTTTTTTAAAGCTTTTTCTTTCCTCTCTTGCTCGTTGTTGTTGCGTTGAATTTTTGATGAAATCATTGAAGCGAGAACATTTTTCGAGAACAGAATTCCGTTTCAAGCTTTTTTTATAGATTAAACTCTTTTATTTAATAGTATTTCAAAAGGTGAGCATCGTTGAAAACTGATTTCATAAACATGCCCGTTCATCTCATAATTGTGCGCTTTCTGGGGCATAAAGTTAGAATCAAAATGGTACAAAAGCGATTAATTCTCTTGGAATAGCTATTCCAAGAGAATTAGTCGCTTTGCTCAAAAATTAGACATCTAAATTCAAGAAGGGGTAAAAGAAAGAAGAATGGAGTCTCTCTTGTCTCTCTTGTCTCTCTTGTCCTTTTTTGGGCCTCCATAGCAGTAGTCACACCCGACACTCTCCATTCCATCCCTCCTTTACCCTTTCCTTTTTTTCCTTTTTTGGATGTCCACTGGTTGTCGTTCATTTGTCCTTTTCTTGGACCTTCCATGCCTTTCTCTTTTCTCTTTTCTTTCATCTAAACCACCATTTTCCATTCATGGTTTTCCGTCTCTTCTCTTCTCAAAGATGACCCAAAATAGATACGAGTATTTAGTGGAAGAGCGGCATTTAGTATCATTTTCAGCTTATTATTCAAAAAGATCAAATTGTTGAACTGAATTGTTGATCAACAACCATTTTAACTCAGCTTTATCTAATAGAGTTGATTTCAAATCTAATAGAGTTGCTCTAACAAATCTAATATCTAATAGAGTTGCTTCTAATAGACTTGCTTCTAATAGAGTTGCTTCTAATGGAGTTGCTTCTAATAGAGTTGCTTCTAATAGAGTTGCTTCTAATGGAGTTGTTTCTAATAGAGTTGCTTCTAATAGAGTTGCTTCTAATAGAGTTGCTTCTAATAGACTTGCTTCTAATAGAGTTGCTTCTAATAGAGTTGCTTTTTGCCTTGTCTTCTTCAGAATCATTCACTTGTGATTTTTTGAGAAGATTGAGAACAGCTGTTTCTTCACAAAATAAAAACAAAACCCAACAATAGCTTTTCCCCAAATTTTCAATTCTATCGTTTTTAGGATTCCTAATGAGCTGCTTGAAAATTATCTTTTGTTCTCTTTTATTCTTTTGAATATTCTTCAGAATCTTATTTCTTGTTTGAATACTCTTTTGATGAGCAGTAATCTCAGCAAATCCCAACAATCCAGCAGTTTTTCCCGAAGAAATCCTCCAAACAATAGCAAATCTTCTCTAAAATTAGTCTATCATTATCCCGAGAGTAAAAAGAATGAATTGCAGTACAATTTGGATGGGGAAAGAGCTGAGAAAATCTCTTTAGAATAAAAAGAAGAGAAGACTTCACTTCATGCAACGCGTTTCCATAGATACATTTTGAAAAGCCGATCAAAAAGGGAGAGACCACTTTTCGGGGGAAAAGACGAAGAATTCTTTCAGTAATGATAGTTTTTATGTTTTCTAGATTGCAAACTCTCAAAAAAATTCGATGTCTATAGCCAAATTCTTCAAAAGTTTCCCCGTTTCCCCATTTTCTTCAAAGGTTTACTGACTCGTTGGTTTACTGGTTTACTCGTTTACTCGTTTACTGAATTGTTTCTGAACTTTATCTCATTTTCTCTCAAATCACAGTCTCCAGAAAATCGTTACGTTTCATTTTTCCTTTGATCCCAAAAAGTTTCCATTGTTTACTGCCCATTTTTCCTTATCATTTCACTGTTCCCTTTTTTTTATCGTTCACGCGTTTTTGCCATCTCAGATTTGAGAAAAAAACTAGACTGTAAACATTTTTTTAAAAGCAGAACATTAAAAACCAAGTTAACTTCATTTATTTCTTTGATATCTTTGAAAATCTGAAAGATTTATTGCCTTAGAACAAGTAACTGGGCTGGCTAGTAACTGGGCTGGCTAGTAACTGGGCTGGCTAGTAACTGGGCTGGCTGGCTAGTAACTGGGCTGGCTGGCTAGTAACTGGGCTGGCTGGCTAGTAACTGAGCTGGCTGGCTAGTAACTGAGCTGGCTGGCTAGTAACTGGGCTGGCTGGCTAGTAACTGGGCTGGCTAGTAAACAATAATCAGAACAAGCAATCATAAAACAACTGATCTACTGATCTTCATTGAGTTGAATATTGATTGATTGATCTATTGATGTCTATTGATGTCTCTAGTAATGTTTCTTTTCTTGTTTTCTTGTTCTCAAAATACAAGAAATTTGTGCCTTTTTATATGTAAATGAATTATCTCGAGAAGGAGTTGAAGGTGTATTCAAAAAAGGAAAGGAAAAGCGATGGATGGGATGGGGAAGAGTGGGGAGAAAGGTTGACGAAGAGGAGTCAATACTCATGCCCCTTCCCCCCCCCTCCATCGTCTCCTCCAAGCTTCTCCTCATCTCTTCTCCTCCCACAAACCCCATTACCTTTTTTTGCCTTTTTCCCCCTCTTCTCTTCCATTTTCCATCAATTTCCCATGAAAATCACCCGTTTTTGGGTTAATTTTCCTGACTCCATTTCCCTGGGAATCAATCATACTAGGGCTGGCTAGTAACTGGTTGGCTAGGCTAGTAACTGGCTGGCTAGGCTAGTAACTGGGCTGGCTGGCTAGTTACTAGTCTTTTTCGAAACACGATTGATAAACTACATATTGAGTATTGATAAACTAAATAAAACTATTTAAAAACAAACTTATTAACTGATCTTTGACTAGTCGTTAACCCTGGCCAAATATAGGAGAGAACAAATGAATCCCATCTCGAATCGACACTCAAATCGACACGAGGCCAATTTTTTTCAATAGTTTGTGAACAATATATACACAAATGTACTTAATAAAAGCTACTTTTGAATAGGTAAAATCAATTCGATAGATAATAATCCCCTGAACTCAAAATTTCTTTTGATTTTCGTCTCTTTATCCGAAATTATTCGCCTTCGCCGCTTTCCAGAAAGACGAAATTGTTCCAAAAGGTTTTTCTTTTAGCAAATTGTTGTTTTTTTTCAAAAAAAAAGCATACTTTTCCCAATATATTCAGAGAAAATGAGCTAAAAATTCTTTTTTTTTTGAAGTATCCCTACATTTTGAAGTTTTTGAAGGTTTTACATAAAAATTTTGGCTGATCTCGGTTTTTGAGATCAACCAAAATTGGTTTTTGCAACTAACTAAGTAGAGATTTTTGAATTTTGATTTAACAGGCCAAATTGCAATGCTTATTGTTCAAATTGCAGCGCTCAGGGTTCAAATTGCAGCGCATTGTTCAAATTGCAGCGCTCAATTACATATTGTCCAAAAGAAATCACCATGAAATCTCTATTGAGACTCGAGTTATAGCTTAAGCCTAAGCCTAAGCCTAAGCCTGAGCCTAAGCCTGAGTCTAGCCTAAGTCTAGGCCTAAGCCTGAGCCTGAGCCGGGACAGACAAACACACACATGTAAGTATAAGTATTTTAATAAGTATTAATAATTTAATAAGTAAGGTAATAAGTAAGATATTGATTGATTGTTTTCTGAATTGATAAGTGACGCATTGTTGCAAGGATTTCAATGAGTGTCTTTTTTATGCTTTGTTTACCTTTTGTTACTTTCAAGGGTCAGCTTTTCCTTTTTTTTCTTTTTCTAAGCACTCCAATCTCTCACTTTTTCCCTTTTCTTGATATTTGATGGTTTCTCTTGTCTCTTGAATTCTCTCTTCTCATCTTTTCCATCATTTCCAACTTTCCCGACTTGTGTTTTTGTGGATTAGCAAAAAGAAGCCTGGTGTCAGCAAAAAGAAGGCTAGAGAAAAGAAGACTGGAGAAAAGAACGATGGTGTTGACAAAAAGTGACAAGATTGAAACAATTCAGTTGAAATCATGAAAGTTTTCAATTCAAGGCTATCCGATCTCAATTTCATTTGTATTTGTTCAGCATTTTTGTGTCTTCAAAGGATTCCAGAGCTGAACACGTGCCTGAACCTCTTCTCGATAAAAATGATTGTTTATGTTTGTTTTTCGATGTGGCTGTGCAAGCCAAAAATTGCCCAGTTTTACTCAAAAAGAGAAGGGGAAAGTGTCGTAATTTATTCTGCAATCCACATTGAAACTGCCATTTTCCTGGCCTATTTCCAAAGCTTATTTTGAGTTCATATTTGAAAGCAGTCCCATTTAATAACAAGTTACTTAAATTTCTTTTTGATTTTTGCTTCTTTTGCACTTGCTTTTGATCAAAGCTTCCATTTGCTTTGGATCAAAGCTTCCACTTGCTTTGGATCAAAGCTTCCACTTGCTTTGGATCAAAGCTTCCACTTGCTTTGGATCAAAGCTTCCATTTGCTTTGGATCAAGCTTCCCTTGCTTTGATCAAAGCTTCCACTTCTTTGGATCAAGCTTCCACTCTTTGGATCAAAGCTTCCACTTGCTTTGGATCAAAGCTTCCATTTGCTTTGGATCAAAGCTTCCACTTGCTTTGGATCAAAGCTTCCACTTGCTCAAAGATCAAAGCTCCTTTGATATTTCCATATCGATTCCCGCACTCCTTTTTGGGATGTCCTTGAAATTTCACTCTTTCCCAAAAATGTCGAGTGAGCCAATTGTTGCAAATCGAATTAACTCAAAAATCTCAAGAATTCCTTCAACCCTCCAACCTGGTTGACTCATTTTTGATCGATTAAAAAATTGAAAAAGTCAAGACCGAATGGCACTAGGGGGGTCGAACCCGGATCTTGTGAGTCGTAGACAAGCGCGCTCCCGTCTGCATCACGGTGAAAAGATCTAGCATTTAGCAATTAGCACATGAGAAACGCACTGGCAAAGCTGGTATTTGACAAAGCTGGTATTTGAATACAAGAGTTAGGCTTAAAGTTCTGAAAGAGATTCAGTTGAGGGTTTTTTTCCCAGTTAGTGACGGATTGTTAGATAGTTTTTAGCTTTATAAAGTTACTTAAATTTCTTTTGATCGTTTTTCGTTTTTCGTTGCCTGGATCAAAGCGCACAGTGCTGAGGCCACGTCGCGAACTGCGTGAAGAGCAAGTACCTGGAAATGGTTGAGATTGGCTACAATGCTTCTTTGAAGGAGTTAGGTGGCTCTGATCAGGCGTAGAAATGTTTCAAGAATTTCAGCTTTAAAATACTCTATACTAAGTCGAATTTTGATCTGGGTTTTAGCTGAAAAATGGCTTCTTATAAGCTGAGCTTCTTATAAGCTGAGCTTCTGATAAGCTGAGCTGCTGATAAGCTGGGGTTCTGATAAGCTGGGCCTCTACAGCTAACTGGGCCTCTACAGCTAACTGTTTTGCACTTGCTTTTGATCAAAGCTTTCACTTGCTTTTGATCAAAGCTTCTTTGATATTTCCATATCGATTCCAGCACTCCTTTTGGGACGTCCTTGAAATTTCACCCTCCCCCAAAAATGTCGAGTGAGCCAATTGTTGCAAATCGAATTAACTCAAAAATCTCAAGAATTCCTTCAACTCTCCAACCTGGTTGACTCATTTTTGATCGATTTTAAATGAAATAGAAAACAATTTGTATACAATTCTCCTTGAATAAAAAGAGAATGAAATGTCGCTCCTCTTCCCCTTTCCCCTTTCCGATAATTTCCCGATTTTTTCGCATCGAAAACCCGAAAGTGTTGGGGCACAATTTGCGGCTACTTTGCACTGAAATGGAAACCGAAATTTACTTTAAAAACCTACATGATGATTCCCAGTTCAATTTGATTTGATTCCCAGTTTTTTAAATTTTTTCTTTTGCTTTCCAATTTCTCAGATTTCTTTTTAAAATTCATGGATCATTTTGTGATGTTTTCTTTTGCAAAAACGATATCTCTTTTGTTTCATTTGACCTCATCTCAATGCATAGAAATATCCCATTTCTGGAAGAAAAGAAGAGATATTTCTTTTTCTTCTTCCATTATTGCAAACCATTTTTTTTCTAGAATCTTCATTTCTAGCCATTTTTTCATCTAGACTATATTTTTACATTTTTTATTTGAAAGTTTATCTGATAATTTCTCTTTTTGTTCTTTTTGTTTGAAATGGTAAAAGAAAAAGGTCATTGGAAAAAAAGGAAATGTTTTCGCGAGGATTACTCAATTGAATGCCCTTTTATACCTTTATTGTTTATTTATACCTTTTATTGTCTGGTATCTGATCGACTGTAGCAGGTGTACTGTAAAGCTCTTCTAAAGGTATTGTAGATGTGTAGAGGACTGTAGGGGTACGGTAGCCATAGCATTGGCATTGTTATCATTGTCCAACAAATCGTTGCCACGTTAAAAAAACTGTTTTGCCAAATATTTAGGCATTTCTTTCCTTCTCTCAATTTCATTTCTCTTTTCTTCAATCATTTTCAATCCATATATGAGCGTTATTTTATGTTTTCCCCACCTTGTTCTAGTGTCTTTTTTGAGTGTTATTTTGGCAACAATTCTTTTCTTTCTTCCTTTCTTTCCTTTTCTTTTTTTTCTTTCTTTCCTTTTCTTTCTTCCTTTCTTTCCTTTCCTTTTCTTTCTTTCTTTCCTTTCCTTTCTTTCTTTCTTTCCTTTTCTTTCTTCCTTTCTTTCCTTTCCTTTCTTTCTTTCTTTCCTTTTCTTTCTTCCTTTCTTTCCTTTCCTTTCTTTCTTTCCTTTTCTTTCTTCCTTTCTTTCTTTCCTTTTCTTTCTTTCTTTCTTTCCTTTTCTTTTTTCCATTGCAATCAACCCAAAAATTTCAGCTTTTCGACCTTTCAACATTTCTCGCGAAAAAAACGTTAATCCTTTCTTTTTTCTAAAAAATAATCAGTAGATTCTGCTGGCAGACGTTTTAAGGATTTGCACAAGATTTTGGTAAAAACGTTCTTTTGTTAGATTTACTTTGATCTGAATGGCCTTGAAAAAGATTGATCCTCTAGTTTTCGAAAGTTTTTTTGCGGGTACCTGACTAAGTTTTTCTGAAATGTTTTCGCTATATTTATCTATTAAATGAAATTGTTAACTGTTTTTATTGTTGTTTTGTTAACTTTACATTAACTTTGCTAACTTTACATTAACTTGTTTGTTAACTTTACGAAGAGAATTCAATTCGAATTTACAAAAAAACTTTCTAGAATTCGATCGAAACGATGTCACACGGACCTCAGTGTATCTGTCAGATATGCACTTGCGGGTATTTCTTTGATTATTAAGCTAAAGAAAAGATATTAAGCTAAAGAAAAGATATTCAGCTAAAGAAAAGATATCAAGCTAAAGAAAAGCTATTAAGCCAAAGGAAAGATATTAAGCTAAAGAAAAGACCTTAAGCTAAAGATTATCTAAAGAATTATCTACTTTACACAAGTGCAAGGGAGTGGGACAAATGCGACCTTTTTTTGCGCACCCGGACATTTGCACACCCTTTTTTCCGCACTTAGCCCATTAGCGCACCTTTTTTCGCGTCTTAAAAAAGCTCTAAAAAGCTAATATTAACCAATTTCTATTCCAAAAGTTGTTTTTCTAGGTAATTTTAGGGCGTAGAATCGAAATTTTGACATAACATAGCGTGTGGAACCAATTTGAAAGACCAATTTGAAAGGCTAGATCAAATTACAGAAAATTGTTGATTTTTCTCTTTGTATAACTCCGTCCGCTCGCTTCCACAAGCTCTGATATCCCAAAATTTCGATTCTACGCCCTAAAATTACCTAGAAAAACAACTTTTGGAATAGAAATTGGTTAATATCAGCTTTTTAAAACGCGAAAAAAGGTGCGCTAATGGGCTAAGTGCGGAAAAAAAGGTGCGCAAATGTCCGGGTGCGCAAAAGGTCGCAAAAGGTCGCATTTGTCCCACTCCCCAAACGCAACAAACAATCATTCACTTACAAATCAATATTCAGTCGACATCGTTGTCCTCACGATCGAAATGCGAGTAGTATGAATTTCGGAGATGATTCAAGCGGATTTCAGCGAAAGGTAAATATTTTCAAAAAAAACTGACTACCTTTTTGAAACAGCTGACTAAATAGCAGAAAATGGATGGAGAATGGATAGAAAATGAGATTTTAGGAATATGCGGTGTCTCACGGAGAAGGAAGAAGTCCCATTCATCGACCGAGAGGAGAATTGTCTGCACAGAATTTGGGAGCTCTTGATTCGAATATGGTTTGTCTTTTATGAGATTTATGCTATTTTGAATATGCAATACAGTCAGAAATTTCTCTAATTTCTCTAATTTCTCTAACTTGTTGCTTATTTCAATTTTAGATGACTAGAAGCGAGACTCGTGAAGCATATCAAGGAGCCGATTCCGATTCGAAGCATCGTTTTGTCACCTCGGCTGCTTTCAAAAAGAGAAATCAACAATCACAGGTTTTTATTCAAAGCAGGGTTTGAGAAAAGAGATCAAATTAGCATAACAAATTATCAAACATAGTTATCAATACGAGTTTAATATTCCGGTACTTCATCGGAGAAAGCCGGTTCGATGAATTCGGGTATTATCTCGGCTCTTTTGCCGAATCTAAAGGGTTGGAATGAAATGAATGAAAAGAAAATTGATCATTTTATTGTCTAAAGTTATTAGGTTATAAGTTATAGATCTAATTGTAAGTTATTACAAATTTGGTATTGTAATTGTTTTCAAATTCACACCTGACTAAAGCACTCCTCATTGGGGCAGCTCGACCAAAACGAACGAGGGCATTTCGATACGGTTTCTCACTGAATTCATTTATAAAACTATAGAGAACTGAGCTAATTTTAGAAATCAATATAAATGCAAAGTTTCAATCTTCTATTGGATAACAATGTTACGTTCAAATCCGAACTAAACCCTTTCCCTGATCGCGCCACTTTGCTTGTCTGTATCTCCAAAACTAGTTGACCGATTTTGATGATTTTAGTGTCATTTTGTAGAGAAAGACTTATAGATTCTTAAAGTCAATTTACATATGGATCATTGGTTAATTTAGTGATTAATTTAGTAAAAAATATGTAATTGGTTCGGATTCGGACGCCTCAAAAGTGAGTTCGGCTTCGGACGTTCGAATCCAAAATAATTTCATATTTTTTTGCTATATTAATTAACTTTTTCCAAATATAGCTTTACTTTAAGAATCTCCATGTTTTGCTCTACAAAATACGCTATTATACGTTATTTTTGCTAAACATTTGGGTCACGAAAAAATAGCTTAGAAAAGTGTCGAAAAATTTCGGTTTTTTGTCTAATAAAAAAGCTATACTGAACAAAATGCCATGAGAAACCATACCGTAAATACTGTAATAGTACTCCACCCCCATAATGACGGTGCGGAGTGTTGAGTAGTCTAGCTTTGAACGAGTTTTTCTCGACACTGGTTTATGCTACAATGCGGGCTTAGGTATCAAAAAATAGCCCTGAATTTCAGCTATTTTTTGATACCTAAGACGCATTTTTGGAAAGTACGGGCGCTTTGAAAAAAATGAAACACTAAAAAACTTTTGCGACTACGCGACTGTACGAGGGCGGTGGGGTACTATTATAGTATTTACGGTAGGTATTGATTATTAGGTATTGATTATTAGTTATTAAGTTATTGCTTGTGGAAACTTGAGCTTGTGGAAACAAACGGACGGAGTTATACAAAGAGAAAAATCGACAATTTTCTGTAATTTGATCTAGCCGTTTTGTCTTTCAAATTGGTTCCACAAGCACTGATATGTCAAAATTTCGATTCTACGCCCTAAAATTACCTAGAAAAGCAACTTTTGGAATAGAAATTGGTTAATATCAGCTTTTTAGAGCTTTTTTAAAACGCGAAAAAGGTGCGCTAATGGGCAAGGTGCGGAAAAAAAGGTGCGCAAATGTCCGGGTGCGCAAAAAAAAGGTCGCATTTGTCCCACTCCCCTATATCTCCCAACTATGAAGCTACTTGATACTTTGATTCTGCTTTAATGATAAAACAAACGCGAAATTCCTCGGCGGTGCAGCGAGAGAAATCACAGCCAAGACAGCCAAGAGGATGAGCTTTGCAAGTCGCATTTTGTATTGAATTACCTAAAATTACCTAAAATGCTTTTATTAGATTAAAAGAAAGTTAAATTTGGATTGAAAATTTAATATAAGAGAAAGATTCTAGCAGAAAATATTGGAATGAATCGTAAAATTCGTTAGAAGAGAGAAGGAAAAAGACTGGGGCTTTTATGGTATTTCATTCGAGCATAAGGAACACTGAATATTTTTTTGGAAAGGCAAAAAGTCATAGGAAATGAGAACAGAGTTAGAGGTGACTTTGTAAAAATGAACGGATTAAGAAAGTCCTACAAGAGTTTCAATTTTCAAGAAGCTTCTCCAAGAAGCTTCTCCTAGATTTTTATAATCTGTTAACACCTATAATTTAAAAACCTCAATAAGCTCTTTTTAAAGAGCTTTGAAACAAAAACAAAATCAGTTTTGCTTTCGCTTTTCAAATCTAGTCCTTGGCAACAAAGAAACCCATTAGCACCTATCGCAAAAATAGCAATTTGTCTGGATAATGTGAGTTGATGTGAAAAAGTTGATGTTTAGCCTCAAAACACATGATTCTAGTCTTTTAAAAGTTTTTGGCTTTTGGCTGGCTTAGGCTTGTTAAACTTTTAAGAAAATCCTAACTTTTTGCGGTTTTAGATCTCTGGGGGTTTCTTTCAAACTCCTTGGCTCAGAAGCCGACAACGCAAAGTCGATGACTAAAATTGATGGCTTTAAAAGAGAAAAAATTCATTGTCACGTCACTTTTTAAAAAAGAAAAGCTGTAAGAGAAAGTTTTAGAAAAGATAAAGATAAAGATAAAAATAAAGATAAAGAGAAAGCTAAAGCCTAAAGTTTTATAAAAGATAAAGAACAAATAGTCATTTCAATTCCAAAATTCGAATTCAAATCCCCTGATTTGTGGGCGTTTCGAGAACGGAGGTCTTAAAAATTTATGGCGACCACCGGAAGGACTTTCAATATATTTCTTTTTGTTTTCAATGAATTGAACTATGATACTAGTTAAATATTTAGTTAAAAAAGAATATTCAGTTGACCAGTAAAAGATGGGGAACTTGAAAGAAGAGATAAAAAGTTAAATAAAAATATGGATAAAATAAATGGATAAAAATATGGATAAAATAATCCTTGAGGTTTTTCTCATCTTCATCTTCTGTTTTCTGAACCTGACTCGTTTTCTAAGCCTAAGCCTAAGCCTAAGCCTAAGCCTAAGCCTAAGCCTAAGCCTGAGCCTAAGCCTAAGCCTGAGCCTAAGCCTAAGCCTGAGCCTGAGCCTAAGCCTAAGCCTAAGCCTAAGCCTAAGCCTAAACCTAAGCCTAAGCCTGAGCCTGAGCCTAAGCCTTAACTGGCTGTAATAGATGAATTTGTATTTAATCCATGAATTTGAAATCGTTGGCCAGGCCCTTAAAAGCTTCTGCAAGGACAAAGAATACGAGATTGGAAAAATCAAAAATAAACGAATTGCTTTAGTCATTTGGAATGCGACATTCGATGCGCGCCTTTTCACGACCCAAAACCCTAATTCGCAATGTGTTTTTGGGCTTTAGAAATGGCTGAGAGCTGAATTTTTAGTGTTTAGGTTTTGAGGGGAAAAGGTTGTGTTTTAATCCTTAGCATGTAGGTCCTTTGTTTGGAGCTCGAAGATGAAAAGTGAGCGCTCAAGTTTGGAGTGAAAAAGGGAATTCGTGGGGGTGAAAGGGCATCAAATCCGATAGACCACACTAGTCACTCCTACGCGTTTTTTTTCGCCCAATTCCCTGGGGCACAATTCGTGAGCCTGTAAATCAAGAAAGAGTGGCATTTCTAATAGAAATGTTTCAAGTGAAAAGTAGGCCAAAGAATTCTGGAGTTATTTTTAGCTATCTAAAACGAGCTAAAGATAAATGGCAGTGTGAAGGAATATTGGATTGGTGCCAAACAATTTTCCTGCTCTTTAACGCATTATTAGATCTTGGAAATTCCTTCCAATGTTTTGTTTCCATAGAATTCTTTACCAAATTCTTTACGAAATTTGCTGCGTTCTAAACTATTAAAAAGGTTTTTTATTTCTCTACAAAAGAGCTTTTGAGAGAAAGCCAAAAGCTCGCCTCAACGCCTCAACTCAACATTTTATGTAAAATTTTCAATTGCTGTTTTAAAGAAAATCGCTGAACGGATCGTTTTCAAATTTTACAGACTTATGTAATCAAATGAGCTCTATCTTTGTACTTTGGCACCAAAATAGGTTTGTATTGAAGAAAGTGTCCAAATTGGGACTTTGGCATGGAAGCAGGCAGCAAGCAGGCAGCAGAAGTAGGGATCGGAGCAGGTGCTCGCCTTTGCGCTTTTGAAAATCCACAATAACAACTACTGCCAAGAATCTTCCAAAAGCCATTTTGCAGAGAAAGAATTAACCTTTTTAATAGTTTAAATAGAAATTTGTTAGTGGCGGCATTATTTTTAAAAGAGGCTTCGAAATTTCGGAAAAATTGTAAACACTTATGCACCAATCTAATAAATTCAGATTTTCGATCCAAATGGAAACGACATGGCAAATGGGAGAATTCTAAGCAAAAGGGAACAAGGTAAACCTGTCTCGATTGAATACAATAACTTAAATCTTTAGTCTCTCGACGTGAAATGGTTGATCGCGATCTTTCCATTGATCCAAGGGTTTGTTTTGTTTTTATTTTCGATCACAGCACGATAAATCAGTTGTTTTGTTTAGTGGTGATGCATGATTTTTAGGTTGATTTACCAAGAAATGAAGAAAAAGTTCAAGAAGTTCAAGAAGTTGCCCGGGTAGAGCTGCCAAGTACACCAGTGAGTAGGCATCGGAGACAAGAATTGCTGAAATCGACTCTAACTTTCGGCGGTGAGGCATCAACAAGAAGCGAAGTCAAGAAAAGCACTCACACTTCAACAACAACAACAACAAAGCAAATCGCTCAATCCGCGTCTTCAAATGTTGATGCTTCTCATGAATCGACAATCTCAAAATCTTCTCCATTGACTGTAAAAGAACACTTCGAAACGGCCACTTCGACGACTCTGACCTCTCCTCATCAAACCCCACTCAACTCTCCCGATTCGCTAGTCAAGATTGAGGCAAATATCGAGAAATTCTCCAGTGGCTATCAGAGTCAAGATTCTCCTGTCTCAATCTCATCTCGAGCCACTAATACTCCATCATATGCTCGACCAACTCAATCTGCTCGTCAAAAACAATCCAATCAAATCACTCATGCACATGAAGCTTTCATTTCACAGGTGATCGTTTGTGGTTGTTATGAGTTAGTAGAAAAAGCAACGTTTTGTTCAATTTTGTTGTTCGAAAAGTGATCAAGTTGGTTTGGAGAAAGAGCTGAGATCCGACGACCACAAAAAGCAAAAATTTAGAGCTCTTCTGTGAATCGATCTGAATATGGAGCTGTGACCAAGGGAGAAAGAGCTGAGATCCGACGACCACAGGAAAATCAAATCTTTGAGGTGAGTTTAGATGCACTTTTAATAACTTAACGACTAACAGTGAAACTTCTCAATTCCAATTTTAGAAAAGCGCAAGTGGGGCGTTGAATGTGTCGATGACGAGAAGTGAGTACTCCCCAAAGAGAGGTGATCGGTATGATGTGAAACGACCACAAGACAACACGATATTCGATGTAAATTAGGAAAAATGATAACAAAGAAATTTTATTTTCAGCGATCTGGCCAAATTGATTCGACGACGGTGAATCGGACAGAGTATTCTCATCAAAAGGGTGAACGATACGAGACTCGACGACCAAAAGAGAATCAAATCTTTCAGGTGAAATCCAATTTGGAGTTTCCACCAAAAAAAATTACATTTCAGGGTGGAGAAGTCGAGAAAAACACGGTGACGAGAAGCGATTATAAAGCAAAGAAAGGGGAACGTTACGATGTGGTGAAACCGAAAGAATCGGATCTGTTGAAAGGTGATGGACAATTCGACGGAGAAACGCAACACAGAAAAGACTATCAAATTGGTAAAGGAGAACGGTTTGAGACTGTGAAACCGGGTGTGTCGGAGATATGGAAAAATGAGGGAGGTATTGAAAGGACAACGGTGAATAGAAGTGAATACAGTCCAAAGATCGGTGTTCGTCATGAGATTCGACGACCGAAGAGAGTCTGACATTTTGAAGTGGGAAGGAGATTTTGAGGGGAAAACACAGCATCAAAGTGATTATCAAGGAGGGAAAGGAGAACGGTATGAAATGATTCGTCCCGAAGCATCAGAAATCTGGAAGCAAGAAGGAGGATTGGAAAGAACAACGGTGAATAGAAGTGATTATGATGTGAAGACTGGGGAAAGATACGATGTTGTGAAACCAAGAGAATCAGATATTTTGAAAGGAGATGGAACATTTGAAGGAATAACTCAACATCAGAATGATTATCAAGTGGGAAGAGGTGAAAGATATGAAACTGTTCGACTGACAACTTCAGAAATCTGGAAAAATGATGGAAAGATGGAAAAAATAACGGTGAACCGAGGAGACTATGAGATGAAGACGGGAGAACGGTATGATATTGTGAGACCAAAAGAATCAGATTTGTTGAAAGGTGATGGAACGTTTGAGGGAAGGACACAAAATCAAAGTGATTACCGGGGAGGAGTTGGGGATCGGCATGAAACTGTAAGGAGAGATGAATCGGATATTTGGAAAAAGGATGGAAAAGTTGAGAGCACGACGGTGAATAGGAGTGAATATAATGTGAAAGCTGGTGAAAGATATGATGTTGTGAAGCCAAAAGAATCAGATTTGTTGAAAGGTGACGGTACTTTCGATGGTCAAACACAGAATCAGAAGGATTACCGGGGAGGAGTTGGGGATCGGTACGAAACTGTAAGGAGAGATGAATCGGATATTTGGAAAAAGGATGGAAAAGTTGAGAGCACGACGGTGAATAGAAGTGATTATGATGTGAAGACGGGAGAACGGTATGATGTCGTGAAAGCAAAGGAATCGGATTTATTGAAAGGCGACGGTACTTTCGATGGTCAAACACAGAATCAGAAGGATTACCGGGGAGGAGTTGGGGATCGGTATGAAACTGTAAGGAGAGATGAATCGGATATTTGGAAATCTGAAAGTGGATTGGAAAAGGATACGGTAAACAGAAGTGAATACAATGCAAAAACAGGAGAAAGATATGATGTTGTGAGACCAAAAGAGTCTGATTTATTGAAAGGAGATGGAGCATTTGACGGTCAAACACAGCATCATAAAGATTATCAGGGTGGTAAAGGAGAACGATATGAATCAGTTCGTCCATCCACATCTGAGATTTGGAAGACTGCGGGGGCTATGGAAAATATGACAATCAACAGAAGTGAATATGAAGGAAAGGCTGGTGAAAGATATGATGTTGTGAGACCAAAAGAATCAGATCTTTTGAAAGGTGATGGACAATTTGACGGTCAGACTCAGCATCATAAAGATTATCAAGGTGGGAAAGGGGAAAGATATGAAACGGTGAAGAGGGATGCTTCTGAAATTTGGAAACAAGAAGGAAAACTGGATAATGCAACGGTGAATAGAAGTGATTATGATGTGAAGACTGGGGAAAGATATGATGTTGTGAAACCAAGAGAATCAGATATTTTGAAAGGTGATGGAACGTTTGAGGGAAGGACACAAAATCAGAATGATTTCCGGGGAGGAGTTGGGGATCGATATGAAACTGTGAAGAGAGATGAATCGGATATTTGGAGAGTTGAGGGTGGTTTGGAAAACACGACAGTCAATCGAAGCGAATACAATGCAAAAACAGGAGAAAGATATGAAGTGAGACGGCCACGAGAGTCCGATCTATTGAAAGGAGACGGGGTATTTGATGGTGAGACACAACATCACAAAGATTATCAAGTTGGTAGAGGGGAACGATTCGAGACAGTAAAGCCAGAGACATCAGAAATTTGGAAACAGGAAGGTGGAATGGAAAGAAATACTGTGAATAGAAGTGAATACAATGTGAAAGCTGGCGAACGGTATGATGTCGTTCGACCAAAAGAGTCTGATTTATTGAAAGGTGATGGAGCTTTTGAAGGCACCACGCAAAATCAAAAAGATTTTCAAGGTGGAAAAGGAGAACGATTTGATACAATAAAGCATGAAGAATCCAAAATTTGGGAGAAAGAAGGAGATTTTGAAAAGTCGACCGTGAATCGTGGTGAGTACGGTATGAAAATTGTTGATCGACCTGAAGCTGTTAGACCGAGAGAGTCTGATCTTCTCAAAGGTGATGGACAATTTGATGGACAGACACAACATCACAAAGACTATCAAGGTGCGAAAGGGGAAAGATATGAAATTGTAAAGCATGAAGATTCTGATATTTGGAAGACTGAGGGTGGATTAGAAAAAAGAACCGTCAATCATGGCGACTATGGTATTAAAGTGGGAGATCGATCTGAACCTGTTAGACCAAAAGAGTCTGATCTTTTAAAAGGTGATGGAAAATTCGATGGGCAAACACAACACCATAAAGACTACCAAGGTGGACACGGTGATAGATATGCGACGGTAAAACATGAAGCTTCAGATATTTGGAAATCTGAAAGTGGATTGGAAAAGGATACTGTAAACAGAAGAGAATACAACGTGAAAGCGGGAGAAAGATATGATGTTGTGAGACCAAAAGAGTCTGATTTATTGAAAGGAGATGGAGCATTTGACGGTCAAACACAGCATCATAAAGATTATCAGGGTGGTAAAGGAGAGCGATATGAAGCAGTTCGTCCATCCACATCTGAGATTTGGAAGACCGCGGGGACAATGGAAAACATGACAATCAACAGAAGTGAATATGAAGGAAAGGCTGGTGAAAGATATGGTGTTGTGAGACCAAAAGAATCAGATCTTTTGAAAGGTGATGGACAATTTGACGGTCAGACACAGCATCATAAAGATTATCAAGGTGGGAAAGGGGAAAGATATGAAACGGTGAAGAGGGATGCTTCTGAAATTTGGAAACAAGAAGGAGCACTTGAAAATACAACAGTGAATAGAAGTGAATACAATGTGAAAGCCGGAGAACGGTATGATGTTGTGAAACCAAGAGAATCAGATATTTTGAAAGGAGATGGTACTTTTGAAGGAAGAACTCAACATCAGAATGATTACCAAGCGGGCGCTGGTGAAAGGTTTGAAACTGTAAAAAGGGATGCTTCTGATATCTGGAAGCAAGAAGGAGGATTGGAAAGAACAACGGTGAATAGAAGTGATTATGATGTGAAGACTGGAGAAAGATACGATGTTGTGAAACCAAGAGAATCAGATATTTTGAAAGGAGATGGACAATTTGACGGTCAGACACAGCATCATAAAGATTATCAAGGTGGAAGAGGTGAACGATATGAAACTGTTCGTCCGGCAACTTCAGAAATCTGGAAAAATGAGGGAAAGATGGAAAAAACAACGGTGAATCGAGGAGACTATGAAGTGAAGACGGGAGAACGGTTTGATATTGTGAAGCCAAAAGAATCAGATTTGTTGAAAGGTGACGGTACTTTCGATGGTCAAACACAGAATCAGAAGGATTACCGGGGAGGAGTTGGGGATCGGTACGAAACTGTAAGGAGAGATGAATCCGATATTTGGAAAAAGGATGGAAAAGTTGAGAACACGACGGTGAATAGGAGTGAATATAATGTGAAAGCTGGTGAAAGATATGATGTTGTCAAAGCAAAGGAATCTGATTTATTGAAAGGTGACGGTACTTTTGATGGTCAAACACAGAACCAGAAGGATTTTCAAAGCGGGAAAGCTGAACGTTATGAAACAGTGAGACCATCAACTTCTGAAATTTGGAAAAATGATGGAAATGTGGAGAAAACAACGGTTAATAGAAGTGAATATACAGTGAAGGCTGGGGAAAGATATGATGTTGTGAGACCAAAAGAATCAGATCTTTTGAAAGGTGATGGACAATTTGACGGTCAGACACAGCATCATAAAGATTATCAAGGTGGGAAAGGGGAAAGATATGAAACGGTGAAGAGAGATGCTTCTGAAATTTGGAAACAAGAAGGAGCATTTGAAAATACAACAGTGAATAGAAGTGAGTTCCGTATCAAAGCTGGAGAGCGATACGAGATGGTGAAGCCGATCGAATCCGATCTATTGAAGGGTGACAGTAGATTTGATGGAGTCACTCAAAACCAAAAAGATTATCAAGCATCAACCGGTGAAAGATATGAAGCCTCTCGACCAAAGACTTCTGATATTTGGAAAACATCGGGAGCATTTGAAAACACGACAATCAATAGAAGTGAATATAATAACAAGATTGGAGAACGGTTTGATGTGGTGAAACCAAAAGAATCAAATCTTTTGAAAGGTTCTGGGGCATTTGATGCAAAGACACAACATCAAATGGATTACAGCGGTATGAAAGGGGATCGATTTGATGCTGTGAAACCAAAGGATTCGGCTTTGTTCAAGGTTTGGCACAAAAATTGTCAGTAATCCGTTTGTTTTAGAGCAATGAGAAGTTCTTGGTCGATTCAGTGCATCGTTGTGAATTCACTGGAGCTCCGGGCGAACGTTTTGAGCGACGAGTGCCGAGTGATTCTCTCCGTGCTGGTGGAGGGGATTTTGACGGAAATACACAGTATTCAATGGATAACAAATGGAGAAATGGACAGGTAAAATAAGTGTCCTACTTAGGCTGGCCAGAAAGTCTCTTTGTTCCTTTTCCACCTAAGCATTTATCAATTTCAGACTGGAAGTCAAGGGAACATCCCAACTCTTCCTCCATTGATCCCAGCAAAACCGATTCAAACTCGATCCACCGAATCTCTCTTCATTGACACGAATATGGACTTTGGGACAAACTATCGCCAAGCCTATCAAGCTTGTCATTCGGATATGAGAATGAAACCGATTCGAAGAGACGATAATCTGACCACTCCTGGCGGAGGTAAGGAACTGTTAAATTCACAAAGAACTCGAAATCTCCAAGAACTTCAAACCACTAAGAACTCGAAATCTCCTAAGCCTCAAAATCTCTGATTTAGCCATGGCTGAATCGTCTGAATACAAACTGACGTATGTTCCACAAAAAGGTGTTCGAAATCAAGCCTGTCGTCCATCATCATCTCTTCATCCGGAAGGAGAAAGAACTCTTGGAAGCAGTTACGATATGGTGAGGCTTAGAAATGAATCGGTTTGAGAGTTTGAGAGTTTGCGAAATGTTGCAAAAGATTGCAAAGGATTGCGAAAAGATTGCCGTTTAATGAAACTTGAGAAATTTCAGGATTTCCGTTTCAAAGAAGTGCAATGTTTGGCGGGAGAGCTATTGGATAGTGTGACGAAAGATCACACGGACACTCGGCATTTCCGTTTTCGTCGTCAACACGGCGTTCATCATTTCTACGATCCAAAATCGAATAGCGCATCAGCAAGAACGGAATCTTCTTGAATTTAACAATTTTCAATGAAAATCGCACTTTTTCTCTTAATCCTGCCGCATTCGCATCTATAAAATCGGGTTTATTTCATCGAATTTTAGGGAAAATCCTGAATTTTCATGAATTTTAGGCAAAAACGTGAATTTTCATGAATTTTCACGAATTTCTTTGTGCTATCGCTGAGCTTATCTATCACTTTTATTGCTAATTTTATTCTATTATTATTTCTTTCTGAAATTTCAATAAAATTATCGAATTTGGTAACGAAATCCACAATCACATATCACAAGATCGATACTTTAAAAGATAAAAAGCTCTTTCTCGAAAACAGGATTTGCTCAAAAGCTATAAAGGAACAATAAAGGAACTATAAAGGAGCTATAAAGGGACTATAAAGGAACTAAATAGGAACTATAAAGGAACTATAAAGGAACTATAAAGGAACTAAGTAGGGACTATAAAGGAACTAAATAGGAATTATGAAGGAACTATAAAGGAACTATAAAGGAACTCTAAAAGGAACTATAAAGGAGCCTTAAAGGAACTAAATAGGAACTATAAAGGAACTATAAAGGAACTAAGTAGGGACTATAAAGGAACTAAATAGGAATTATGAAGGAACTATAAAGGAACTTTAAAGGAACTATAAAGGAGCTATAAAGGGACTTTAAAGGAACTAAATAGGAACTATGAAGGAACTATAAAGGAACTATCAAAGACCTATAAAGGAACTATAAAGGAACTATAAAGGAGCTATTCCTATTTAGTTCCTTCATAGTTCCTTTATAGTTCCTATTTAATTCCTTTACTTCATGAATTTCTTTGAGCTATCGCTGAGCTTATCTACCACTTTTATTGCTAATTCTATTCTATTATTATTTCTTTCCGAAATTTCAATAAAATTATCGAATTTGGTAACGAAATCCACAATCACATATCACAAGATCGATACTTTAAAAGATAAAAGGCTCTTTCTCGAAAACAGGATTTGCTCAAAAGCTCAAAAATCGGGTTTCTTGTGCTAAATTCCTTCTTCAATCAATTCAAGCGTTTTCATTTTCTTCACAAAAACATTAATGCCAAATTTTGCACTTCATTTACTCTCACTTTTGATTTTCATTCATTCATGCAACTCTCAATTACTTGAAGTCTTTGGGATCTCGACGGGCAATACTGGCACAAAGGAAAGACAACCGTTTCAAGATATTGCAAGGTACAGGAAATTTTAATCACTGTAACTTTGATTTAGTCAATCCGTTGGTTTGATTAATTACTTGAAGACAATCCAGAACAATCCAGATAATGAATTGTATAAAAGGTGAGTGAAAAGAGTGATTGAGTGATTGATGGATTGATGGATTGAAGATTGCAACAACCATTACCGCAAGTGAACTTTGTGAATGGTCTCCCAGTCATTCCGGGAGTTCTCGGATCGCTGCCTGGAGCTGGGGCTTGTCTTCCAAAAGGAGCTCCATTAGTAAGACAAAGGTAGGACAAAGACAAAGTAAACTTTAGAAGAAACTATTAGATTCGGTCACTATTAGAATTCGGCCACTATTAGAATTCGGTCACTATTAGAATTTGGCCGCTATTAGAATTTGGCCACTACTAGAATTTGGCCACTACTAGAATTTGGCCACTACTAGAATTTGGCCACTATTAGATTCTGCCACTATTAGAATTCGGTCACTATTAGAATTCGGCCACTATTAGATTCTGCCACTATTAGAATTCGGCCACTATTAGACTCAAAGATCACTCAGTTTCTTTCAAAACTAAGATCTGATCAGAACACCCAGTTTCTTCGTTTCAGATCACCCAGTTTCTTCCAAAACATTATTCGAAACATTCCCGGTGCTCATGATTATCTCTCCTCGTTTCTTCCATCACCAAAAGTCGATGTCGATTCTTTGTTTGGGAATTATCATTGGGTAAATTTCTTGAATACAGACAGACAGATAGACATCTTATAGACAGATAGACAGATATCTAAAATTGATTCCAGGCAATCGACACTCCATCAGTTCACAATCGTTTCTGTTCAATGACTGAATGTGTAAAACGATGAACAATTCTTGGCAAACCAAATCTTTAGTGGCCCCATCAGCGAAACGAGGGAATTCATCGGCTTTCACGGTAGCTGAGAAGTTTCGCACAAAAAGTGAAAATGGAGGCGAGAAGGTATCGCAATATATTGAATGTTTTAGCTTTTTTATTATTTTAGCTTTTTTTTATCATCTACAAACTTCCCAATGCAATTTTAGGTGGCTTTGGGCTATGGAATCATCAACAATGGAAACACTTATGTCTACTTTCAAGATGATCCTTGCCCATGTACTTATAATGAATTTTTATCAATGACAAAGTTGATTTCAGATCAAATAGTCATTGTTGGCCCAAAGCATTCAACTGGTCAGTATGAGTATGTTGTGCTATCAAATTGGGCACGGTAAGATAAAGAGCTCGTTTTATTGAAACACCTATGTCTACTTTCAAGATTTATTGAAAACCAGCCGAAAAGCCCGTCTAGATTTTTCAGCTTTGTTGCCATGGCGCGGAGCGCGCTTGTCTATGGCCCAAGACCTAAGCCTAAGACCCGGGTTCGACTTCCGGCTGTCTGTTTTTTAGAAAAACGAGATGCACATAGAATTCTAAGCCTAACAAACTAAAAATTATGTAAATCGGCTTACGGGGAACGGAGAACGCGCGCGTATAGACAGGCAGACAGACAGATAGGCAGATAGACAGACAGACAGACAAATAGATAGACAGACAGACGGACAGACAGACGGACAGACGGACGGACAGACAGACGGACAGACAGACGGACAGATAGACAGACAGATAGACAGATAGACAGACAGACAGATAGAGAGACAGACAGATAGACAGACAGACAGATAAACAGACAGATAGACAGACAGACAGACAGATATACAGACAGACAGACAGACAGATAAACAGACAGATAGACAGACAGACAGACAGATAGACAGACAGACAGATAGACATATAGACAGATAGACAGATAGACAGAAAGATAGATAGATAGTAGACTTCGGAAAACAAAACTTAACCAAAACCAAAACCACCAAAACCAAAACCATAACAAAACCAAAACCAAAACCAAAACTAACCAAAACTCGCCAATATCTCGCGACTGGGAGGAGCTAGCGAAAATCTGTTTGCAGATTTGAAATCAGCGTCCAAAAATCGATCCCATAGGCTATTTTTTTGTTTCGAAATTTCGAGGTCGTGTTTTGGTCCTTTTTTCGGCCGCGAGATTTTGTGGAGTGAGAAAAAGTGAAAGGCAAATTTGCATTTTACAATTTTAAATTTACATGTTAATTTATATGCAAATTGAGTTTTGGTTTGTTTTGGTGTTTTGGTTTTGGTTTTGGTTTTGTTTGCCGAACTCTAATAGATAGACAGATAGACAGATAGACAGATAGACAGATAGATAGACAGATAGACAGACACTTCCCTTTTATATAGTAGATACTTATCTAGATTCCCAGTGATTGCAATGGCTAGAGATATACGAGTTTTCTACAAATTGTACAAGGATAAATTGGAGGATAAGTTGACAAGCGAGGGATTCTCGACGGAATATGCTGGGTTGGTTTGGGTTTACCTGATAATAGAAAAAGCTATAGTAACCATCCAAATGAGTATTATTTAGCCTATCAACTGGTCATCTCTCTTATGTTGATTGGTCACATTGTCGGCCGGCCACCCCAATCTCGTACATTCGGAATGTTTTAACAGAACTCTTTGGTTAAATAAAGATTTATTTGAAAATGAAGTATCACAGAATTTTGCTAGCACCACAGAAATCATGGCTCAAACATTTGTTCAGGGAAAATTTGATTAGTTACAGGACAGAGGTGCGGATGGGGCATACAATCTGCATGAATGACAAAACCTGTCGACAAGATTTTCAGCTTTTCAATAAGGGAAACTGATCTTTTGCAGACTGCACACGTTGAGTCTTCGTCCATCTGAAATATTTAAACAACTTGAGGAGTTAACAGTACTAACAAAGCTAGAAAACAGTGCCAACTCACCAAGACAGGTTTCTGTTTGAAATTGGCGTTTGGTTGTCCTTCTTTAGTAACTCGAATCGTCGCAAAATAAGCTCCCATATCAGCTGCCGCTCTTCTCCCATCAACAAATGAAAGGGATCTCGACAAGAAGCCACTGATCTCATTTAACTAAATCTATTTTCAAGTCTTCATTTTCTTTGCCTCACCGTTGTTCCAGGTGGCAACTGCTTGACGATCTCTTCCGGATTTGCATATCCAGCCATTTTGTTCAAGAGACGACCAATGCTGTCTGTGCTGAAGGCGCTACTAAAATCCCACTGATTATCGATTCTTGCAAAACTTTAATGTACTTTGGATTTGCCAAGAATTCTTTTAGCAAAATCGTCCCAAGTTGGGGATTCTCGTGTCCAAATTCTGTGCAAACCATCTCAGCTACATTGAGCTCTCGCTTTTGAATCAAAGATAATACGGCTTGTTCAGGGTTCATCTAAAAAGTAATTAATGTTTGACGTTGATTTGATTTTAGACTAACCCTTGCTTCCAGAAGAATCTTTTCAACTTCCAGCTTTGCCAAATTGTCCAATTTTTCCCCAATCTCTCCTCGGTCTAACTGTTTTGACTTCAACAGAATCTCCCTCAATTTCGAATGCGTATTTGGATCCGTTGCTTTATCTGAAAGTTGTTGTTACTTTTGCAATTCTATCATTCCTACCATTCTCTATCATTTCCACATAATGAATGGCCAAAGTTGTATCCCAGTTGAAATCTCCATTCCCTCGTAGTCCCTCCAAATACCAGATGAGTAAATCTTTGTTCTGTTCCAAGGCTTTTAAGATCTCATTTGGTTCACAGATGCATCGATATCGATTCAAAATCTGAAACTCTCTTTGAAATCAAACATTTTTCACATTGAACCTCTTTAATTCTTGATGAATCCACATTGCATAACCAATCGAGAGTTTTCGCAAAAGCTTTCGGGTTTTCGGTTCTGAATTTGTATGGTAAAGCGATGTAATGTTAAAGCTCTCAAATTCTCATTGTTTACCGTATTTTCTCTAATATTTTCTCTATTTTCCCTATAGTAGTGCACCGAGCCGAGCCAATTTGACGACTATTTTACGGTTTCCAAATTTTCACAGAAACTCAACACTCTAATCTCCAACAAGATCTCATTGTCAGCTACATTTTCTGACCCGATATTGATAGGTTTTGATAAGCACAGGTTCTGATAAGCAGTTTTCGAGATTTCGAGCAATTTAGACAAAGCTCAAGGTGCACTACTATTAGAGAGAATACGGTAAGTCGCTCTTTGCTGAATTTTACTTTATTCAGAAAAGAATTTGAGGCAAAACTCTTCAACAAAACCAATCAACTAATTTGTAGAACAAAAAAGAAAAAGGAAACGTTTGAATGGACTAGAGATAAACGAGAAAAACACGCGATATTTTGGTTTATCCGCAAATGAATGAATGAATGAATGAAAATTTGCAAAAATAAAACAAAAAGCAGTAGACAGAGGGGAAAAAAAGTCTCAGACAAGTGACGGTGTAGCTCATTGGTGCATTGGTAATTTACCTCTGGAAAGGGAAAGGGTGCACTGGTAATTTACCTTTGCAAATGGTGTACAATCACATCCAGATTAAAGCTCGTCTCCTCAAGTCTTCCCGCATGGAGATCTTGCCAGATTTTGAAAGCCTAAAGATCTAGATAAGTCTTTCTTGAAAATCAACACTACCTTTTCATCATTTTTCATCTGAAACAATACATGTGCTCTTAAATTGTGTTTCTCGTGATAATTCAAGAAAATTTCCAGCTTTTCAAGATCCAGTTGATCGTAATTCTTGATTTTATCGACTTTTCCCTCTAAGATGTTTAATTCAAGAAGAGTCGTTTCGATGAGCTGAATGAATAAAATAGTTTTTGATAATAAAATTAGATTAGAATATCTAATTTTATATCAAAACTCTGCATCAAAACCTTTTTTTGTTCTTCTCGTTGCTTAGAAACTAAATATTTCTTGATGAAGTCAATGATCGAATCTTGATCTGCGTTTTGCACATCTTTGATTGAAGAATAATTGTGCAGATGAGTAGCACGGAAATCATTGTTCAGCTCTGGGATCAATTGAATCAGCTAAATGTTTAGTATGGATTATTTCACATATCCTTTCCTCACTTCAAATGGATCAAGTTCTCCTTCGTTGAAGAGCTCATTGGCTTTCTCGAAATTTCCCTCAAAGAAACATTGAAAGCCAATTTTCTGCCGGAGATCATTTAGCTTCTAAAATCGTTTTGCTTTTGGAATTTTTGATTTTATCAACCAGAAATCCTTCATCAGAGAAATTGTTCTTAACCCTTTCTTCCGCGGTTTTCAGTGCTTCATTCGTTTTGCCCTTTTCGAGGAGAGTTTCCACCTGAAAGTATTTCTTGATTGTACTGCTTGTGCTTGTGCTTGTACTGCTTGTGCTTGTGCTTGTACTGCTTGTACTTGTGCTTGCACTGCTTGTGCTTGTGTTTGTACTGCTTGTACTGCTTGTACTTGTGCTTGTACTGCTTGTACGTGTGCTTGTACTGGCTTGTAAAGCTCAGAAGTTAAGACTTTGAGCACAAATTTTACCTGTGATTCCCAGGATATCGGTTCCACAACGTAAATTCCAGTGTTTGATCCGCCAAATATTCTTCCATCCAAGTTGGCAATCGTTCGAACTCCGTCAATCTCTATCACTTGCTCAATTCGTAGATTGTTGTTTCTGAAAGACATCTTTGTATTCATAACATTTTCCCAACTCACGAAATGCCATAGATCTTTCCATCAGTGCAAACATAAATAAATTGTTGCGAGAAGAGGAAATTTCTGATTGGCGGTGATGGAATGTGGAATGGAGGACGAGTACTGGCACCTGATGGAGAGACGAAAATACACAAACCATCCATTCCAACCAAGAGATATTCCGACTAAATCAACCATTTGATCTTTCTGGAAAGTAACAGACAGACGGACAGACAGACAGACAGACAGACAGACAGACAGACAGACAGACAGACAGACAGACAGACAGACAGACAGACAGACAGACAGACAGACAGACAGATAGACAGACAGACAAACACTTTGTCTATTTCACTTACTTGATCAACTACTGAGACAAGTGGTCTCCGCAAGAGCTGTGCATCAAATGGAAATAAAGGAATAGCCACTCTTCGTTGAATATCGTACACAAAATATTCACTTCCAGACGAATAACAAATACTATGTCTAAAAGGAAATTTTAAGTACATAGATGCTCTGTTACTTGTTGTATGCCAACGATAAGACTAATCCGGGACAAGTTATCCTTTGAATTGCCTCATTTTGGTAGTTGTTCTTTTCCATTAACAGGATCTAAAGTTGTTAAATCACTGATCACTAATCACTAAATCAGGATCACTAAACAGTTTATCCAATTATTTCAAATAAAACCTTTTTGCCCAAAGTTCCCAGCGCGAACTGGAGAACAAATGGATTATCATTTGTGGGAGAGTTGTTGATGGAAAAGGAGATCACTTCTGATTTGTGATTGATGATCTAAATATTCAATTTGTTGCCTTCTCTTGCTTTGTCACCTTCTCTTTTTTACCATTCAATTTGTTATCTTGCTCTTCTCTATTTTTAGTACCTCTTTTGTTTCCAGAGAAATCTCGTAGAGAGTCGAGTTAGCAATTGCCATTAAAAGCTCTAAAGCCGAGGCATAATCAAGCGATGCTATCGGGGTTTTCTGAAGTTTAAAGTCTAAAGTTTAAAGCCTTTAAAACATTTTCACTCACAATTGGCAATCGAATCATTTGGATGGGTCTCATTTGTCGATTTCCTTCCTTTTCACTGATTCGAAAATGGAATATTCGACCAAGTGACGAGCCTACAAACACCTCTGTAGCACTCCCGCTGATGCATGTGATCTGAAAAGAATTTGTTTAATGATAAAGATTAAACCGACAACATGTAGACAGTTTTTAAAGTTAAGTTCATAAAGAATTATCTCTTAATCTCAATATCAAAGAATATCAAATCCCTTACCACTTCTGATGGCTCCAAGCTTATCGTTAAGTCATGCGCAAGTCTTGCCTCAAATAAAGAAGTACCTTCTTCCATCTAAAATTAAAGATAAGTAAAGTTTAGATACTCAGGGATGAATTAGGTAAGCATAAACTATTAGCTTAGGTAATTGAGAGATTTGTAAAGGTTTGGCTGATAGTTTACAAGGAATCACCGTACAAAGGAGTCTCTTGAACTTCTGGAGGATTGGAAGCAAACCCCGTTGTCAATAGATGAAATTTGCCTGAGCAAGGAGTGATTGTGCTACAATTCAATCAGAAATAGAAATTCAATTCAATTTCACGTTTGCACACAAAATTGCCTTATCATTATCTCAAAGAAAAAGACAAAGAGTCCGATCAAGTTTGGCTAGTCTTTATTAGAGTCTTCGATTGCTACTTTTCAATACCGTTATGCCTCGCCAATCTACTTTTTACTATGGTAATCTAAAAGTGCAATCTTGTGGACGTTTACAAGGATCATTTAAGGTTTACATACAAGGATTAATGACTCTAACGTTTATGCGCCCTATTGATGTGAAAGCCTATTTTCATTCCTTGGTAAATGAAGGGCTAAATTCAATACCAACGCGCTCTAATCAGTTGACAAGTGTGAGATTTTTATTGGATGTTTAAAATTGGAGAGGTATAACGGTAAAGTATCGTTTATTTAATACACGTCGGGCAAAGCGTGCGAAAATGTTTCAACGAAGCTCAATGAAACGATGTGTTGAGCCCAAAAAGGAATCACTTTGAAGTAAATCGTGGAAGTATCTCGAACAAAAGAAACCAACTTTCACAAATTTAACAGAAAACTCAGTCTGCAATTCAATTTGAACACCAAAACCTAAGTTTATTCTGTAGCATTATATTTCTCATAAACAATCGTACCAGATCATCCGAAACATTTACTTTAAGGCTTTTTTAGAGAAAAATTTTTGTGCACCACACTAAAATGCACTAAACTACCGTATTCTCATGCAAATTTCCAACTAATTATAATAATAATAATAATAATACTTTATTCAAACGATAAAGTGAAAGAAATCATAGAGAAATCATTATGCCCAATAAAACTAGAAAAGTTAATTCCAACCTCTTATTTTTGTTGCCCGCTGGCTTCATTGCTATTGTTTCAATAATTTCTCGCTTCGACATTGGCAAGTCCTCCATCGTGAACCAACAACCCCATACTTTTGCGCGGGATTCATGTCGCGCGCCTTAGACCACTCGGCCACGGTTTCCCCTTATGTTTTTAGTGTATTTTGCAATATTTCTTTAAAAAATGTTATAACTTTTTGTAGAGTTGGCCAAATTTTATGATTTTTGCATCAAAATGTTCATAAGAGCCTTTAGAATAAAAATTATCCCTTCGTTTTTGGTTCTAGACCCTCGTTGTCGAGTTACGAGCTCCAAACTGCAGGGTACCACAAAATTTCCCATACAAAATGACCAAAAAACTGCTAAAACTCAATTTAAAAAATTTCTGTCAAGGGGATTTGAAAAATTCCTTCAGATTCGGAATCAGCACAATTTGCCGCATCTAAAAAAGGTACTTCCAGAAAAATCCGATAGAAAACGCATTTTTGCATTATTTCGCGCCGATGTGCATCGCCCTGTAAAAATCCTTCGAACAAAAAAATGTCTGAAATAAACTTAACTTTGGTTCCAGGTGTCGAGTTGATGAAAAAAAAACAGAAATCGGCTAATTGCCAAAAAAAAAGAAAAATTGGAGGGTTACGGTAGTTTAGTGCATTTTAGTGTGGTGCGCAATAATCAGAAAAAGCCTTAAAGTAAACATTTAGGTCAGAAAATGTCATCTCATTTCGTGTTCATTTCTTTTAAAACAGTATTTTCTACCTAAACTTAAACATCTTTCACTAAAACGAAAAAAAAAAACTCGCCTTTACCAAGCACATACATCATATATTTATTTCTTAAACGTAAACATTTAATATCTACCAAAATTTCAAATATTCAGCCAAAGTCAAATTAGTACGAGCTTCAGTCATCCTAACATCAGTTATCCTATCGCGATATTCAGTTTCAATATTATTCCTAACATAGATAACTGAAGCTCGTACTAATTTGACTTAAACGTCAAGATATTCAATTGAATTTTCAAAATTGCCTTACACTAGTCAATTTTCATTTGTGTTTCTGCGATTTGATGAAAGATTTCCTTACACTAGTCGACTTTCATTTGTGTTTTCATTTCTGAGAATGTTTCTGCAGTTTTCCTTAACTTTACGCGTTTTTTTCTCTTGTCTTAAGCCATCTATTGACGATTTTAATCAAATACAATTCTTACTTTTGTATAGTCAACTTTCGCGGTTATTGGGTTGATGCATAATTATCCGGACTTCTTTTATAAATGATTTTATTTAACAAAAAATAACATAAATAGTTAGAAAAATATGTTTAATTGATTATTCTGGAGCATATTCACCGCCTACATCAATAACTGATTGCCATTTGCTTGGAAGACGATCGATTCCACGAGCGAAGAATAAACGATCTTTGGAGGCAATCCACGCTTTAACATCGTCTATCAAGTCATCCAAATCGTTGTAGATCTTATTTGTTTGCCAATTTTTGAGCGATCGATTGACGTGGTAGTCCGTTGGGGCTTCTCCAGTTCTTTGAGATCGCGAAACGACTCTGCGGCAGACCATCCCTTTTCGAAGTGGTAGAGCATGATATGGCGAAGATGGATATGATTGTCGACACGCATTTTGTTCACTAAAGAATAACGAATATTTAAAAAAGAAATAGACAAAAGCTTTCAAAACAAAAGATACAAGCACGCAAAAAGAAGTCCGGATAATTATGCATCAACCCAATACTAATTATGCATACAACTCCTTTTTTTCGCTTTTTACTTACTCTTTTACTTACTTTTTTACTTACTTTTTTACTTACTTTTTTACTTACTCTTTTACTTACTTTTTTACTTACTGACTTTTTCTTTTTACTCTAACTGTAGTTTTGATTTCTCCTTTGACTCGGGAGATCTCTACTGATGATTGCCTCCAAAAACCCTGGCCTAGAGTCATTAGACCCAGTACCCTTTTAGGGGAAACCTCTTTTCCTCTGACAATTTTTACCTTTTCAACACTATAAAAAGTACTAAAGCTGTCAAACAAATACCGTCATACTTCTAATAGAACGGCTTCCCTATAATGACGGTCTAATGACTCTAGACCAGGGTTTTTGGAGGCAATCATCTGGCTGGTACACTATTCTCTACAAATTTCAAGTTAACTTTTATCTTCCTTAGCATAAACAGCTTTTAAACTCATTTCTTATGAAGTACAAAAACCAAAGTCCAAATGTTCAATGTTTATTGATCTTTACATAATCAATTCATATTATTAATTTGATTTCTGTCCGTTCACATCACGAAGAGCTTTTTCGATGAGTGGAGTGTAGATCTGAAGTTAAAAAGATCACATTTTCAGTCAATTCTCAAACCTCCGAGGCAGCGCGTTGCCCCCAAATGAAATCCAAATGGTTGAAGTCATCGAAGTAGTTGTTCTCGATCAATGTCTAAGTTTTTGTTTGTTTGTTTGTTTGTTTGTTTGCTTGTTTGTTTGTTTGTTTGTTTGATTGTTTGTTTGTTCGCTTGTTTGTTTAAATGATATTCAGAGATCAAGTTTACATTTTTCTGCAAGTTTGGCAAAAGATGATCGGTGATATCCTTTTTGTCGGCCAACCAATCCGCGTCAGACCAATAGAGATAAGTGGGGACGGTGATCTTCGAGACATCATAAAGTGGTGGGGTTGTCTGGAAAGCTTTGTTTACATTTAGTCAAAAACATTTCCCATTCTGTCACTCACTTGTCCATAGTGTTGCTTGTTCAACTTTTCACTTCCAAAATCGTACATTTGTTGCTTTCCGGATTTGACCATTTGACACCAATGGAGAACATTTTGAGTGGAAGTACCACCGGGCATGTCAGCAATATAAACGGGGAGACGGGTCTAAAAATTGTTCTTTTCCAAAATTTCTCCTCTAAATTACGGTGTTCATTTGATGACTCTCTGGTCCAGCAATCAACCATAAAAGATTTCCACAAAGGAGTTTCTCGGTGACATCATTGCTGCAGAAAAGTTTCTCGGCAAGTTTGATGAAACTGTCTTGAGGCAAAAAGGCTCCATCTCCAAAGATTGAATGGAAAGCCTAAATTGAAATTGAAAGTTATTGATTGAAGTTATTGATTGAAAGTCTTTATTGATTATTTTATTGGGATTACGAATTAGCAAACCTCCAACTCAATCATAAAGTTATTAGCAATGAAGGCAAGAAGTCCCTGGATATGTTTCACAGTTCCGACTGGAGCCAAAGCATGGAATTGGCGAATCTGAAAGCAGATTTTGGAGATTGATCTTAGAGATTGATCTTGGAGATTGATCTTGGAGATTCTCAACCAACCTTTGAGTTAAAATCTTCATTTTGAGACAAATAGCTGAGCATGATGAGTGTTCCTTGTGAGTGTCCAACATAATAGAGATGGTCTTGTCCAGTCTCGGTCAAAGCCTTATTGATCATGGCTGGCAAGTCGTATTTCACCATTTCGTCCCATCTATTTTAAGTTGATTTAACAAAACCTTAATACTTACGAGAATTTCCAGTATTCATTCTTCTTGTGGTCGAGAGTTTTGTGCCCAAGAGAGTATTCATCTCCACGAACATTTCCCATCCAAACGTCAAAGCCAGCATCGGCGGCCATAAATCCTGAAAAAGATATTGATATTGATATTGATATTAATATTGATATTGATTGAAGATTTTGATTACTACTGGCTAGAGAGTGTTCCGATCATTTGTTCGCGTCCGTTTCCTTCCTATTTGCGTTGCTATTTTGCAATTATTCGCGTCGCATTTTTCGCCCTTTTCTCTTTTCCCGAAATTGTTTTTTTCTGGTCTGCGGGCTTCTTGCCTTGTTTCTTGGGGACTTTGTTGTTTCTTTTTGATGCGCATGCTGTTTTTGTAATAGGTATTGTTGCATTTCGGTTCTGTACTAATAAACAGTAACGTTATAAATTCACTTTACTTTATGCTACCCTTCAGGGTTTAAATCCTGTTTAGATAACTGGTTTAACATTGTAGAGAGACTGTTTTACTAACATTTGTGTCACCATCGACGTAGTATCAATCCGATCCGTACGCGTCTCAAGAGTATTAATCTATTGTTGGATACTGCGTGTTCTTGTTACGTTATAAGCGCTTTTGGGGAAACCCTTTTTAACCTTTTGTGCTATTCGGCCATTCTTAAGCAGAATCATCCTCGTGGATAAGGTTAAAACGGGTCGCACCCCAAACTATTTAATTAATCGATTAAAGCTAGACGATTAAAATTTGAATCAATTAATCGTTGATTAATGCGCGATTAATGAAAGCTGGTGTACAACAGCGATTAATGAAAGCAAAACGTGTACAACAGCGCCAAAAATAATCCCTTGGCGGTTAAGTTTCTATATGTTTCTTCTTATTTAATAGAAAATAAAATTAGCTACATTTTGCATACATTGAAATCACTTAAAACAGAATTAGTGCCAAGAAAAGCTCAGTTAACCTCTTTCTTGAGCCCTTCTTCATTTTTTTTTGCATTTTCTCATCCCAAATTTGTTCTAAATGGCTCCAAAAAATTCAGCAGATAGCTAATTTTTTTCTAGATTCAATGAAAATAAGAAACATAAATAAACTTAGCCGAAAACGCGTTATTTTGGCCAGCGCTTTTTGTACACAGCGCTGTTTTGACCAGCTCGCCGATTAATGCGTTTTTTAAGACGCGCATTGACCAATTCTAGCATTGGTCAGCTATTTAGCTAACAAGGGAAGGTCACGAAAGCAAAGTACCCAATCGAAATTAGCCTAGATCATTCGATACAGAGTTTTACGCTGATTCTGCTGTCCGTTTTTGCGAAATAGGTCGAAATCACAAGGAATTTGGCAAACAGGTTTTTGGCCTCTCTGATAACGCGACAAAGAAATGGTTGCGTAGTGTAGCGGATCGGAATGCAATTGACATTTGCTGCAAAGTGGACAATCGAATGTGCGAAGCTTTGAATTGCAGCACATACCCTTTTTTGTGTTGTGCTAAATGTAGTATTGGACTATGTTTTACTCATTTCATTGATTGTTGTCATGCTTGTTATGCTATATTATTTGTTAAATAGAAAGATTTAAACAAAACTTTTGAATATTTAGCAATTACGAAGAGAAGGGGATTAAGGAACACTATAAAGCTGTTGAAAAAAAGAAAAACTTAAAGGGAGTCGATTCCTCGACCCATAGCTTTGCACCTCGACCTATAGCTTTGCACCTAAACCTATAGCTTTGCACCTCAACCTATAGCTTTGCACCTCGACCTATAGCTACGGACACGTTTTTCGTTTCACTACGCAGGAAACATATATTTTTATTAATCGCGAGGAACACACTCTAGTGCTGATTAAACGGTTTACACACTCTACTACTACTTACCGTATTTCTTCGAATAGAAGACCGGGTAAAGAGTATCATCGCGTACTCCTGCGTAGCAGCCCTTTTTAAAGTTTCTTTTCTGCATAAAAGCTTTCAATGAAGTGCTATAGGGCTGGAAAATGACTCAAAAATACCACATGAGCTAACAGATTTTTGAGCCATTTTCCAGCTCTATAGCACTTGATTGAAAGCTTTTATGCAGAAAAGAAATTTTAAAAAGGGCTGCTACGCAGGAGTACGCGATGATACTCTTTACCCGGTCTTCTATTCGAAGAAATACGATATTTCTTTTCTCATACCAAGAGCCAATCCGGGAAGATTCGTGATCCAGTTTGAGCTTGATGCTTCGAGTCCATGTTGCAAGAACATCACTGGCCGCTTTCCAGCTTGTTGATCTGAAAAGCAAATGTGAAAAGTGAGTATTTTTTTTGCATTCACCTTTTCCATGGGGAATTCTGTGCATGGTGAGCTCATAATCATCATCCGTGTACACAGTAACTGTCTCAACTGGATATCCCCAATGAGCGATGATCTCGGGCTAAAGTAGCCAGATTTTTGTGCCATAAGAGTCACCGTATTTATTCTAATAGACGCACAGCCTCTAATAGAAAGAATAACTATGGATCTTCAGCTTAGTAGACTGAATACCTTGAGTTTTGAGTCTTTAAGGCCTTTTTTGAGCTTATAAGGCATTTTCTTGAGAAAAATTGCATCTTTATCATTTGTTTTGCATAAGCAATAAGCAATAAGCAGTTTTGCATAAGCAATTTGATAAGTTTCTCATGCAATTAGATAATTATGCCTATGGTAATACCTCTAAAAGTAGCGTCTCCCCCCGTACAGTCGCGTAGTTTACTAAATAATGTTTTTCTAAATGCCCATAATTTCTAAAAATACATGTTGGGTTTCAAAAAATAAGCCCTGAATTTCAGCTTTCATTTGATACTTAAGCGAACACTGTAGCATAAACGGGTGGCGAGAAAAATGCGTTTAAAGTTAGCCTACGCGACGTTCCGACCGTCATTATAGGGAAGCCGTTCTATTAGAGGTATGACGGTATTTGTCTGACAGCTTTAGTACTTTTTCTAGTTTTCATCTAACTTACCGCTTTCATGTTGGCCTCAGGATCTCCTTTCCCATAAACGGCAACGGCCAACACTGCGGCCACAACATAGCGAAGCATTCTAAAGTTTCACTGAATTAGAAACGATTTTTGAGAAGAATTTCGAAAAATGATAGGCCAAAAATGGGTTTTGCTGGGATTCGGTGGCTGTTCGACTTGCTTATCACCCATTTTGTCGCATTTTTTTTCGTGTAGATGCCACCGGTTCAACACATGGTTTTTCGATGCAATGAGAGAGCGATAGGACCGATTCCGGGATTAACTCGATGGCTTTATCAGAAATTTTTTCATCAGAAAATTATTGAGACCAAAGAGGCAATTTTTGAGTAGAGATTTGAACAAATTCGCGACAAAATCATTTTAGATTTGGCTGCCGACGACAGCTATCTATTAGGTTGACGCTTCTGAAATGACCGCGACTTTGTCAAGTCTAAACTCTCTCAATTTAAGGCCGATTCCTTTCATTTTTTTGACAGTAGATGCGAGAGATATAACATGAAAAAAACAACGAAGTTTGAACTAATTTCCATTACCCTAGAAAACGTGGAAAAAGCAAAAATTTAGGTACTTTATTAGTACCGCAAAGATTTCTAGGCTCATCGAGAACCTAGATATCTTTATACTCCACCTCAAATTCCCCAGAATTCCTCTAGTTACAAATTTTCAGATCTACAGCTGACATAGGTCGTCCAAAACGGCAGCCAAGCCCAAAATAGCTTCGTGAATGTGTTAAACTAACGCTTACACGGGTGTGGCATTGATATAAGGAGATGGATAAGTTGGTGTTTGGAAAGCAATCGGTTCCTCGCCCAATGTACAAATCATTCTAGATTTGGCTGCCGACGACAGCTACAGTACTGGACAATGAAATATGATATTTGAAAAACGATCGTCACTTTCGCGCGTCTGTAACTCCGTTGTCTTTGAGTTTAAACTATTAGTGTTATACATTTTCTGAAAGCTCTTTTCAAGGGCTACACAATGGTAATATTAATATTTAGAAATACGGTAAAGACAAGGGAGTTACAGACGCGCGAAAGTGACGATCGTTTTTCAAATATCATATTTCACATTGTTCGGTAGTGTATCTATTAGGTTGACGCTTCTGAAATGACCGTGACTTTGTCATTTCTAAACTCTCTCATTTTAAGGCCGATTTCTTTCATTTTTTGACAGTAGATGCGAGAGATATAACATAAAAAAACAACAAAGTTTGAACTAATTTTATGGTGAAATGGCTGAGAATAAAGCGCTGGAAAATTTCGACTTTCATATGCCCGTAAAATCTATTGTTAGCCATAAAAGTGCTTTGATTTTTCAATATTGTATGTAGTATGCCTAGTGCTAGTTACTGCTAAAATTTTGTGTAATTCTGCTGCAAAAAAAATCGAGAAATTCAACTTTTGAAATTACCCCAAACTTGGGTAACTAAACCGGGTGCTCGGTTCAGTCTTCCGAACCGTTCCGGTTTCGGAGAAAAAAAGATGGCGGCTTCTAGATTTACTCAAAAGTAAACAAGCATCTTGTGTAAGTCAAAAGTCTCAGAATCTCTCTATTTATATCAAATTTCTCTATCTCTATTAATCAATCCACAATGTATTGGGTTGGCGAATTGAAAACTGTGGGACTTTGAGCTAAAATTTATTCAACATAAAACCATGAATTCATTTCAAATAATTTCCATTATTATTGACGACTTCTGCCCATTTTACAGGCAATTTGCGGATTCCTCTTTCGTAGTAGGATTTTGGTTTGTGTGTGAGACCAGTGTGAGACTCAAAAATGGAGGACTGGAGATGTCCCAGTTTGAGCACTTTCTTCAAAAGAAACTCATTTTCTTGTCAATAGAAAAGTTGTAGAGAATCAAAAATGAGGCTTATAGCCAAATTTCCAAAAAGATACACTTAGTAGTTTTGCTTAAAATGCAAGTTTTGTTGCAAGTTTTGTGAAAATTCGTAAATTTGGCATTTCTTGAAAACCAGTTTTTGAATCGTTCTGAAAATTTGGATAGTAGCTTTATTTTTGATTCTCTACAACTTCTCCATTGACACCAAAATGGGTTTCTTTTGAAGAAAGTGCTCAAACTGTCATATATGACAATAGCCGGCAGTTTTCAATTCACCAACCCAATAATCTTCATCATCTTCCAAAACTTGAGCCCATTTGGTTGAAGGATTGGTTTACAACTAGGCCAAAACCAAATGAAATATCCAAAAAAAGAGAAGTTTTCTTTCAAAATCAAGTACGGATTCGAATTCCTTGACTCCGAAAACCCTGGTGCAAATTTTTAACCCAATTGGCCTCAAAAAAAGTGTTAAATCCATCCACTGGTGGGCCATATCGTCCGAATGTGTTAAGAAAGTGAATTATCAACAAAACTGAACACAAGCAATGAGGGTAGTGATATCGTTGTTGAAAATGTTCCGAATTTCTTTTTCGTGTCAGGCCTGACATGGTCAGAAGCAGGTCCTAGCTCTAACCTAGCATTGCCTTATCTGACTTAGGGATTTTTCGGCATTGCCTTATCTGGCTCTGCCAGAGCTGGCTCGGAATCTGGCTCTGAATCCCTAAGTCCATCAGAAGTGGGCCAAACTTGGACCTGACTTCTGAATATTAAACCTCCTTAACATTCATTAAGTACAGATTCACATATGATTTTTGCATTTGATTCTTTGCATTTGATTTGAAACTGTATCCATAGAACCTTTTACAAAAAATTGTTTACTTACCTAGGTCAAAATTCATTCAGAATATGCTTTCTAAACTTTCCGTTTGATAAAATGCATTCTTTGCTCCTTTTATCACCTTTTTCAGCAGTAAACATTGAAAATCTCGAAAATTCCCTTTTCTTATCTCATGGTGAACATTGTACCAGATGGAATTCATGCTTTTTTTCTGTGGAAGCTCTGTTTTCGTTTTCCGCAGTTTTCTGTTGTAATTCCTCGATTTTCATTTAAATTTTTAATCTTTTATTCAAAAAATATAATGATAAAACTTTGCCACATCCACATCAAAAAAAAATAGAAAAATAAAAATAGAAAGAGGCTTAGAAAATGAGGGATTTTTTTTTCGAATGAGAAAATGAGGGATTTTTCAAGCAACGATGCTTCAGATGCAAAAGAAAATCAAAATTTGTCGACTTTAGCTTCACATTTCCCCATTTCACCTCAAAAATTCTTGACTAATCTTTGCAAAAAAGAAAATGAAAAGAAAAAGAAATCACCTAGCATTCAAAAGTCATACTGAAAAAAAACACTTACGGCAGAAAAATGACTCCATTTTTTTTTTCGGAAATCAATATTTATACCGTAAACCCGCTTGAGCAAAGCCACGTTTACACTTAAAAAAAATAAAAAAGACAATAAATCTAAAGGAAATATAAAGAAGCACACTGTGACATGATATTTTGAGATTCACGCAAAAAAAAATACTTTGACTAGAATGAGAAAATGTAATTTCAATAGGAGAAAATGTAATTTCCAGAGAAAAAAAAATGCTATTGGGTTGGTGAATTGAAAACTGCGGGCTATTGTCATATGTGACAGTTTGAGCACTTTCTTCAAAAGAAACCCATTTTGGTGTCAATGGAAAAGTTGTAGAGAATCAAAAATTAAAGCTTATATCCAAATTTTCAGAACGATTCAAAAACTGGTTTTCAAGCATTGCCAAATTTACGAATTTTCACAAAACTTGCAACAAAACTTGCATTTTAAGCGAAACTACCAAGTGTATCTTTTTGGAAATTTGACTATAAACCTAATTTTTGATTCTCTACAACTTTTCTATTGACACCAAAATGGGTTTCTTTTGAAGAAAGTGCTCAAACTGGGCTGACAGCTGACATCTCCAGTCCTCCATTTTTGAGTCTCACTTGTCTCACACACAAACCAAAATCCTACTACGAAAGAGGAATCCACAAATTGCCTGTAAAATGGGCAGAAGTCGTCAATAATAATGGAAATTATTTGGAATGAATTCATGGCTTTATGTTGAATAAATTTTAGCTCAAAGTCCCGCACTTTTCAATTCACCAACCCAATATTTTCATGGCAGAACCAAGAATTTTAAAAGTAAATTCGAAAAATTTGGGCAGTGTTTGAAGAGTTTTCAATTAAAAAAACAAAAATGATATTGCTAACAACAAAAAAATAGGCAGAGTTTCTTTTCGAGAAAATTTAACATAAAATACGAAAAAAACGGTTGAACTGAAAGACTTTTTCGAAGAAATTTGCAATTAAAATAAGAATCGCCTAGAAAATTTCGGAAAATTGGCATAAAAATGAGGAGAAAACCTGGGAGTGATGAGAAAAACGATGAGAAATCGGTGAATGAATGGTAGGAAAAATGGTAGGAAACTTGGTAGGAAACTTGATTTTTAGGAAACTTTTGCTTGATTACAGTGGGAAAGTTGATTTTTGAAACTAGGAAACTTGTTTTTTCGGTACTTTTCCGTGATTTGGGGCCATTTCTCAAAACGTCCGCTACCATTGCGGTCATTTTTCATAGCGCCCGCTTTCCGCACAGCCTCTCTGAGGCTCTGCGGAACAAATGAACAAAAGCTAAAGGGACAAAAAGGCACAGAGGTATTGCCAGAAGCTTCCTTGCCAGGTATTCCTTTCAAGCTATTTGACCGAGCTTATCGTGCGACAAGAAGTTAGAGACAACCATATGTACGATTGGATCTTATCGTGATTTGTGCTTTCCCGCCACAAATTGTTTAAGCGAATCTTTCCGGTTAACGGGGGATAAAAAAAAATCCATATTTTACCCCCGTTATTCTTTTTATCCCCGTTAATCTTGGGTATTTTTTTTGATATCCAAGATTAACGGGAGTAAAATATTGACTTTTTACCCTCCCGCTCCCGTTAATCCCTGTTCTTTTTTTACTTCCTGTTGATCTTTTTACCCCCCGTTAACCGGAAAAATTCGTTTAAGCCACTAATAAATGTTTTGTGATTTGTGATAGAAAGTTTTTTTTAAAATAAAAGATGAGCTTTCATAACGGAAATGAGGAAGAGATGAGAAATGGACCCACATAACGGAAGAGTATCGATTTTTCAATCAAAATTGAATCAAAATCTAATTTGAATTCAAATTTAGCTAGCTTTTAGTTTCCTAAACATTTTCCACTTAACATTCTTTTGAAACAAAAAAAAAATTAAGAAATAAAACGAGAAGCAAAATGTGAGAAACCCGAGTGATGGGGAAGAGTGCACCGAGAATCGAAATATCGCTGATTTGTCGAGGGGAAGGATTGGTTCTCGAAATGGACAAATTGGGGGTGATCTCGATGAGAAAATCCCGAAATGGAAAGCCTGGAGAGATGGAGGAAATTGAGAGAAGTGAAATCAAAAAAGAGAAGAATATCCACTAGACGAAGGTGAAATATCCGTCACTTTTCCGCCGCTTCTTCCCCCGCGTCGGATTCGAACCATCGAATTGAGGCTTTCCCCTAGAAAATTTACGTTTTACACACATAAGAATGCACTTTAATCACTTTGATTTTTGAGATTTAAGACTTTAGATTAGTACTTAGTATTAGGTACAAAAAATGTGGATTTCTACATTTCGGAATGCGGATTTCTACATTTTCATAAATTTCCAACGATAGAAACCTGATGTTATAAACAAGAATCGATGAATGTTATAAACTATTTGAAAGTTGTAAAACTCTTTTACAAAATAGGCTAAAACGTGTTTCAATTGATCGAACTATTGAAGTAGTTTCGAGGGCGAAATGCGAGTGACCAAAAAAGGAATCGAGTCACTTTAAGGACAAGTTTAATGTGGTCAAAATAGAGTCAAGCATGGCTTAGTCTTTGAACTGAGCTAGCAGTCTGGCAGGATCAACTAGATATCTGAACTAGAGTTAGCTTTCCAAGGGCACTTTTTGAAAACCCCACTTTCACAAGAGTTCGGTTTTGACTATATAGTGGAAAATGACGGCCCTAAAATCATTATCCTAAAAATATCATTCAAAATAATTAAGAGTTGGGATCATTTCATGGGAAAACTTTGTTTTTACAATAATTTTTCTTTTTTGTGAAAAAGGCGGTTTTTTGACAATTTTGAGGGTTTTGAACTTACGCTCTATCTAAATTTCTGTAAATGCATTTTCATTAGACTTTTTTTTAATGAATAGTTATATAGTTATATAGATATATAGTTATCCTTTTTTTAAGAACTTCAATTTTGGGAAGCTAACTCTATTTTGAGCACACTAAACTTGTCCCTAAAGCGGCTCGATTCCTTTTTTGGTCACTTGCATTTCGCCCTTGAAATTTCTTCAATTGTTTCGATCAATTGAAGCAAGTTTAGCTCAGGTTAAAGACTAAGCCATGATTATCTTAGTTCAGATACCTGGTTGATCCTGTCAGACTGCTACCTCAGGTTAAAGACTAAGCCATGCTTGACTCTATTTTGACCACACTAAACTTGTCCCTAAAGTGACTCGATTCCTTTTTTCGTCACTCGCATTTCGGCCTCGAAATTTCTTCAATGGTTTGATCAATTGAAACACGTGTTAGCCTATTTTGTAGAGGAGATTTACAACTTTCAAATAGTTTATAACATTCATCGATAACATTCATCGAGATTAGGTTTCTATCGTTGGCAATTTATGAAAATGTTGAAATCCGCATTTCTTATGCATGTACCTAATACTTTTTATAGTTTTCTGTACTCTTTTGAAATCTCAAAAACCAAAAAAAACGAAAAGCACTCGTGACGAGACAAAGATTTTACCTACCTACAACAAAATATAGTTGTACAGTTTAAAAATCATAGCTTTTGAGTGCCTAGTGATCGTTTTGTGAATCGTTTTCAGAATCGTTTTGAGAATTCGATTTGTTTCTTGATCAAAAGCCATGACTAGCACACGAAATTCTTAGTGCAATGTAAACAATCATTTTTGAGGCAATTGACTTGACTACGTGTGATTTTCATTGAATCTATTCACCGATTCAGAAAAGTTTGTCTCTCTTCTCATTTGCCCTCATTCAGTCTGCAAAACGAGTTAATGATAAACCAAAGGAAAAACAAACCAAAAAAAAAAACTCTCAACAATTTCTATTCTATGCTGCTTCTATTCTTTCATGCTAGAGACAATTGTTATTAGAAATCTTTTCGTTTCTTTTCATACTTTCGTTTAAAGCCAACAAATGAACCAATTGAACGGTTATAAAGCCAATTATAGCTTAAATTATAGCTTAGGCTTGGGGGGGGCCCCCCCCCCCCCCCCCCCCCCCCCCCCCCGGCCGGGGCCCCCCCCCCCCCCCCCCCCCCCCGGGCCCGGGGGCGGGGGGCCGGCCGGGCGGGGGGGCGCCGGGCCCCGCGCGGGGGGGGGGCCCCAGGCTAAGGCTTCGGCTTAGGAATAGTAAGATAAATGTAGCCAAAACTCAGGAGTTCTCTATTGACCTTCTCACTTGGTACTTTTGAATTTAATAAGGCCTTTGACAACTACCGTATCCTCTCAAAAAGTAATGCACCCCGTAAAGCAGAGTTGATGACTATTTTACGGTTTCTAGGTTTTCGCAGAAGCTCAACACTCTAATCCCCCACAAGAGCTCATCACCTAAGTCTAAGCCTAAGCCTAAGCCTAAGCCTAAGCCTGAGCCTAAGCCTGAGCCATAGCCAATTAAAAGCCAATGATAGCTCTGATTTTCAGCTATAGTAGCTTACAAAGAGTTTTTTGATTGGAAAAACTTTCGGATCCTTAAGGCGACTCGGAAGGAGCGCACAGCAAATACCCTTTTTTGCTACCATTTTTCTTACTTTACTAGGCAAAGCGACTTTCAAAAGGAGTTGTTTTTAGTTGAATAAAGTTTAACGTAAAGTTTATTAAAGTAAATAAAGTTTAACGAGTCTATAAGTTCAGAACAAAGCAAGAAGCGGAATAAGGACGAGTTTTAGCTTCAAAAAGTCTCCCGCTCTGCGCCATAGCATTTTGTGGGAAAGGCAGAAAAACCCCACATGTTGGGGCTTCAAAAATTGGTCATCAAAACCTTTTTAACCTATTATTTTTGTGGAAAACTATTGAAATCAATGATCTTTATAAACTATGCACAAATTTGCCGTTGATGAAGGATTTTTCGGGAAGGATTCTGATCTAGAACACTAAGAAGAATGATAGTTTGGTGTTTGCTCAAGTCTCAAGCTCAAGTCTCAAGCTCAAGCTCAAGCTCAAGTCTCAAGTCTCAAGCTCAAGCTCAAGTCTCAAGCTCAAGCTCAAGCTCAAGTCTCAAGTCTCAAGCTCAAGCTCAAGTCTCAAGCTCAAGTCTCAAGTCACTTTAAAGAACCTAAAGTTTTTCCAATGAAAAACTCTTTGTAAGCTAATATAGCTGACAATTCGAGCTTTCAAATGGTATATAGTACATGGTATATAAAACATCACATTTCTTGTGAAAGGTTGTGAAACCTGGGGGAGTAATTATGGACATTCAGCTCATTCAGCTCATCTGTAAATCAAACCATAGTTTTTGGTGAATTTGTTATTTTTCAACGGAAGTACGAAAAGGAATGGAAAGACTTTCTGAAAAGACTTTCTGAAAAGTCTTTCTGAAAACCCTAATATTTTCATTCTGTCCTTTGTCTGTCTTTACCTTGTCTGTCCAAGAAGCCACGTCTTAAAGTTAGCGTCAAGCTTGCTCGGTGACTGACTGACCCCTCCCTCGAACATCTCGATTGGACTCTGAAAATGAGAAAAGATTAGACAAGGGGGGAATGAGTGGAGCCGTTTCATGTTTAGGCTAAAAACAGAACAGAACTTCAAGAGAATTTTTTCATAGAAATTGTTGAATGCTTATTGAATTGTTGAATTTTTTGAAGTTGAATTTGATGCTCAATTGAGTGATTTGGTGTCTTTTGTGCAAACACGTGCCTCCTGGTACACGACTGCTAGAGAGGATACGTTTGAGCACAAATTACATCCAAAATCAGTCCATTAAGCTTACAAAAGACTTTTGAAGTTCTCTTCTCGATCAACATTACACAGAAAACACTAAATCATTCAGCTCATCGGCTCCGAGCATTGTGGACAAGAGTTAGAGAAGCGTTAGTGCCCAAAAAAAACCAGTGCCTCAAAAAGTACACAAATCGAAAGCACCCGAAAAAGGTCCTCGGCCATCATTGGAAAATATTGGGGATTTCCTTTTAGAAGTTCAACATTGAAACGGTTATTGGGTGAAAACAGAAAGGGTTGGTTAAAGCGTTGAAAGTCGGTGATTTGAAAGTTTTCCAAAAGATTCGTTTCCAAAAGATTCCAAAAGCTACACGGTGGGCATGTTCTGTACTGTGTTCTGCACGGCGCTCTGAAAAGTTCGAGGCTTCGTTGAAAGTTATCGCTTGAATTGTGTTTATTTTTTAAGTTTTAGAAGCTAGGGGATTACGACAATTCCTATATTCTTGGAAAACAATTCCTATATTCTGTGGAAACAATTGCTATATTCTGGCTTCATCGGACAATTCTTGAGTGTTGGTGAGAGCTAAAAGAAGCTAAATTTAGACAATAGATCCCTTGAGATCTCATAAACAACATCTAGCACTGCCCCATTCATTTTTTTAACTTTAAATAGAGGGTGGGGAAGGGACAGAAATGTGCATTGTAAGACTGTACCGACTTTTCGCACTCGGTCGTTAAAATTGTGCCACAAAGCGACGATCAATTCGGTGGCCATGATATCGCCGGCATGAGCCGAGATCATCCGCATACAGAAAACCTGAAATTCGCATTCATCTCAAGGTTTACCAATCCTTTTTTTGTCATTATCATTTATCTTTCACTGTTCCTTATTCAAAAGGGAATTTTTCGAACGAAAGGTACAAACGACTCTCGATTTAACGGCTCTTGATTTAACAACTCTCGATTTAACGACTCTCATTACAACGATTTTAAAATCCTAAAACACGCCCTTGGTTTCTGCGTAGCTGTCCAGCCAAACACAATCGTTGGCCGTTCAGGGCAGCTACGCAACAAATTTGCGACAGATAGAAGCGTTAAATCGAAATTTTTATTCCCGAGCGAATCGTTAAATCGAGAGTCGACTCTATGAGATTTTGATGGCAAGAAGATGCAAACGCCATTCGAGAATCCGATACTGTATTCAGTTTTTGCCAAGAAGGCCGGATTTTCAAGAAAACGCGTTTAAAATTTGGGCATCTACTGGCTCCTGGAGGCTAAGAGGCCATTATTGCGCGGGTAAAATTTAGCCCAATAGCCTAGTGGATAGTGTGCGGCCATGAAAAACGATTCCCAGTTGGTTTTTTTGATTTGTGAGGAGAATACTTGTAATGGCATTTATTACATGCGCAAAATGTGTTAATGCATAATATTTCTCTCATTTTTTGTGTTTTCATTATAGTTGTTAGAGCCTTTGTTTACTATAGGCTAATTGAGATTAATTTTTTTGTCTTTCATTGTCACTTTGGAATTAAACTGCTTTAGAAAGTTACATTTTTAAAAAGCAAAAGGTTCAGGATGGGATCGAACCTGGGTAAATGATCCCGGAAGCATTTACTGCGCCGGCTCACTAACCACTAGGCCATCGCGTCAACTTTTCTTGGCCGTGATAAAGACCCCTTAACATCTTAAGAGCCATTGTCCATTGTCTCAAAAGCTCAAAAGCCATTGTCCAAGTAGATACCCAAATTTTAGAAGCGTTATTCTCGAGAATGCGGTTTCCTTGGCAAAAACTAAATCCAGTATTGGATTCCCGAATGGTGTTTACATCTTGCCATCAAAATACCTCCCATTTAGATTCCATTCCTTTGTCACCTTATCATTAACTCTCCAAATCAACTCACCCCATCAAATCCCAAGAATTTGTGCACGAATTTCTTCACAGACTGTCGATCTGTGGCCAAATCCGTCGCCCGGAGGTACTTTCGGATAAATTTCATGTGCTAAAACTTGCTGAATTGCTCAGTCGACTAATTCTTTTTACCTGTCCCGGCAAAAATGATATCAACATCCAATGAAACATTGAAGAAATAGACACTATTGATACCATGAAATACCAAAACCTGAAATGAGGGCTTTATTTGAAAGAAACAGGAATTTTTCGTACCATAGAAACAAGAAGATCTTTTCGTTGAACATGTTAATCATCAGTACACATTGCACAGTGTGATGATGGACATTACCCAGTACCCGGACCTAAGAATTGCAGATTGCAGATGCAGATTTACACAGGGAAGATGGTTTAAACATTAAATTTCTCTTGAAATTATAAACTTGAATGTTTTCTTTTCTTCCCTTACTCCTTTTCTTCCTTTCTTTCTTTCTTTCTTTCTTTCTTTCTTTCTTTACTCACCTCAAAGTCACACATTGTGACTCGGGGAAAATTCCCGCTCACTTCCCACTCTCTTCCATTCAAAAGATCCTTCAGAATGTGAAAGCCATAGAAGAGGTTGTCTGTTCCGAGAAAACTGTTCAAAATGAACACCTAAAAGAATTGATTGGAAAGAAAAGAAAGGAAAAGACGGCTTTCCTTTGAACTCACTTGTAAAATGACATTTCCTAAGTAAAGCATTTTGATAAAGACATATAAACATGTGACATAGTTGCCCCATCGCTTTGAAACACACAACCCGGACACGTCTGTCACCTGAAAATAAGAAATTGAACAAGAGAGCTACTGTGAATGCTTTGATGCTACTATGGATGGCTAATAAATGGCTTTCGCTAATAAATGAACAAAAAACTCCCCACTTCTCTCTGTATTTCGAGAGCATCCTCCATATGTCCGGCTATTGTCTGCACTGTGGCCGCTCTTGCATCCGCGTCCATCATTCTCGCATCACAGGCCATTTGTGTCAAACTTTGCACATTGATACCTGAAAATTCATTCTATTGTTATACTATGTACGCAAATTATTAAAGGTGGTTAAACTTCTATTAAGCACTTCTATATTTCTATTAAGCTGTCCAGCAATTCTTTTCGTTCCTTTTCATGCTTCCGTTTAAAACCAACAAATGTAACAATTGAACTACGGTTTGTTTCATTAGAAAGGCCAATTATTTTTCTACAAAATAACATTAAAACGGGTTTAAAATGTCTTATGTTTGGGTTTTTTTGGGTGTGTAAAGTCGGGTAGTCAAAAAGGGTGACGGCTCGATGATGTGGACACTTTAGCTTTAGAAAAAACACACTTTAGCTAAGGAAACCTATCTTGGTGTCAATAGATAAAAGATAGAGCATAAAAAGTTTGGTAAATAGCCAAATTTTCAGAGAAATTCATTCAATCCAATTTCTTTGCAGAGGTTTTTATAGGTTTTTACGAAAAACACGTGTTTTCACTCTCGAATTTGCTTGTAATTGAACCGAAATTGACTTTAAAAAGATGGAAATTGAACAATAAACACTTTTTATTTAGAGAAAACTATAGGTTAATTGGTGAATTTGTTATTTTTTAACGGAAAAAGGAACGAAAAGATTTTTTGGGCAGCTTAATATCTTTCCACTACCCTTCCCTCTATTTTCTCGTCTTTTCTTTGCCGCTGTCACCCAATTTTGGATCTATTCAACTGGCTCCTTCAAAGCGCATCTCGCCGATTTCCGACTCTTTGTTGGTCTAACGATAAGCTCCAAGGAACGGGGCAAGTCAGATAAACTAGTATAGTTGTTTTGTCACATGTTGGAAAACGCACACGAGACTATTTCTGGTGGAAATTTTCGGTTGCTAACTGTAAGAATTAACTGTAAATCTAGCCTCTTTACAAAGACATTAATTCAATTCACATAAGCAGTCTTATTCATTGACAGCCAAGTTGCTGATTCATTGACGGACATTCATTGACGTTGCTTTCAAATTCTACTGTAAGCGACTTCAGCTAAGTGGCGGGATTCTCGTTGAGAATGCAAGAGGACTCTTTTCTCAGTCTCTATCAGAAAAGGGAATGAAAAAAGAAGGAGCAACTTGAGGCGAGAGGTAATTTGTGCCCCAACCGACTAATTGGAGCTTCTTCTTTTTCCTTTTTTTTTCTATCACCATCACTCTTTACCCATTTTTCTATTCCTTTCCGATCCTAAAGATTCGCGGTGCCGAAAGAAAAAAAAAGAAAGTGCTGTAAATATTCATGAGATCTTCTAGGAGTCAGGTTAGAAGTGGAGGGGAATTTCTTGAGAATCTTCGATAGTCAAAGATATATATAGTCAAAGATTTCTAGAGTTCACCTGAATGCCAATGGAGAAGACCTCTCCACATAATACACGGAATGTAAAAACAGAGAGCTTCCAAAGCTAACACAAAAGGCACCCATTGATAGTAGCTGATTTGTCGAGCTCTGAAAAAAAGGGTGGAGATTGGGAATTGTAAGGGAAAAGAAGTATAATTATCTTGAAATTAGCTAATTACAATACTCTAAGCTAAGATGTTGACGTAAAATGCTTGTTCTTAAACTACAAGCTACAACGCTATAACCAGCCCTATAACCAGTTTGGTTACAAACAGCTGGTTACAAGCTGACCAGTCTAGCCTCGTTTTTCTCCAATTTTCAATTTCATTTCAAAAAACGCACCTCCGATCGCCGTATTCTAGCGGAAAGGCACTCGTGAGAGGTAAATAGTAGGTGTTCTCCACCCAACAATAATTTTCCGTGTATTGTTCCCACGCGTCTGTGAATTGAGCCGGCACCCAGCACTGGATCGGATACCCTGAAGAAGATAGATATTAGATAGAAGATAGAAGATGGAAGATAGAAGATAGAAGATAGATAGATCTTTTCTTTTTAGTTCCAGCTATTTCAAAACTTTGAGAGTTTAAACAAGCGTCTCTAGGAAGAAATCGGAAGTGTGAATGAGTGCGGAATGTCTAACATTTGGAAATTCCTAGAGAATTCAAAAGTTAAAAGAATGAGTCATTAGATAGTATTTTTCATTAGATGCATTCTTTCCTTTTACTCACCGACATATTGCTTTGCGGAGACGATAATAGCAAAAGCAAAAATGATCGCCGAGGTGTAGTGATAATTCAATTTGTCCACGAAATCATCGTCGACACGAGGGTGAAGGCCCTGAAAGGAAGAAAATATATATTGATTCAGAACCGGACGTTTGTTATTGAATCTATTCAATAACGGACATCTGGTTCTGAATTGGACGTCCGTTTTTGAATCTATTCAATAATGGACATCTGGTTCTGAGCCGGACGTCCTTTTTTGAATCTATTCAATAACGGAGATCTGGCTCTGAATTGGATGTCCGTTTTTGAATCTATTCAATAACGGACATCTGGTTCTGAGCCGGACGTCCGTTTTTGAATCTATTCAATAACGGACATCTGGTTCTGAATTGGATGTCCGTTTTTCAATCATCCAACCTACACTTTCACGATTTTTGCAATGATCTATGGTTTTTGCAAGCTAGTACGTCTAATTTCTTTTGTCTAGACAAACCAAACAATAACATAACAATAACAAAAAAAAACCAATCAATAACAAACCTTGAATATTGCAGCTAGGTAATAGAGAAGCATACCCGCGCCGAGAACCTGGAAAATAATGCATTTTTTGGGCTTGCATATCGCTTAAACATCGATATTAAATGTAAATTACCGCAAAAAGATTAATAATTTGTTATCGGGTCACAGCATTTTTTTAAAAGAAAACTTTTTCTCAGTCTGTGAAAGAAAAAGAATGCAAACAATTGTGAAAAATTGTTATTGCAAATGAAATCAACGCCGGCTTACTCTTTGATTTTCTCTCATGAAGTCTCAACTGAAATTTTGGGTTAACTTGAACGTTAATATTAAATATATTAAATATATTAAATGACGAAAGCTAGTTTTTCTCAGTTTAAGAAAATTCATTAGAGATTGGTCATGCTTATCACTGGGAAACTTTTAATTCTATGCTAACAAAAAAGGCAGATCAGGCTAGCTATGATAGAGATGGCTTACGATAGAGATGAGCTAAAGTTGACCCAAAAAAGAAGTGTGATACTCTTCCTTTTTCCTATTCCTTAAAGTCGTTTGGATGAAATCTCGGATGGATGGTGGATGGAAGGGAGAAAAGCTTTGGGGGGAAGTGTTTCCTGATTAGGGGGTCTGTGTCCCCATGCCGATGGATTCCTTGGAGGGGTCCAAGTCTGAGTAGATAGATGCCCTCTATATGGGTGGGAGTCGGAATCGAGTTTGTAGCACCCTCATCTCTTTCCCTTTTTTCTTTTTTCTTTTTACTCATTTCTCTCCTCCTCCGATCATCTTCTCTCATCCAATGACGCCTTTCTAACACATATCACTGCTCATCTTCGACCTCTGGAGTTAAACAAGCCGATCCTTTTATGGGGCAAGGTCTGATTGGATATTACATGGTCTGATTTGGTAAACATGGTCTGATTGGATATTATTTTAGCCTTATTTGGTCTGTAGTTGAGGAAAGGGCCAGGCAAAAGACTTTCCAGATAACACCAAAATCAATCAGAGATCCCCGCTTGTCATTTTACTATATTTTATTTTGTCCTAATAAACATTTAACCCTCTAATTCTAACTCTAACTCTAGATTACAAGATAACACTTCAAGGTTGTCCACTGGGAAGAGTCTAGTCTTCAAGGTAAGCCAAGGTCCGAACGTGGGAATCAAGGGAGAGTTTAGTTACTGCTCTGGAGTTGGACAGAGCTCTGGAGTTGGACAAGATGGCCCTTTTATGGATTGAGACTGGGAATATAAAACATGATCAGCGCCGGGATCCGAGCCCACGATCTCTCGCTTACCGGGCGAACACTCTACCCATGAGCTACATTGCCACGTATCCCATTGAGTAGGGCCTTATGCCAGAGTAAGGCCTTATGCCTTACTCTGGCTGGAGCTGGCGGGGCGGGCTCAATCGGTTTTAAGTCAAGTCCAGATTCTTATGTCCAGGCTAACTTGGGAGAAAGAAGAAAGGAATTGAGAAAGCAAGGCAAGATCTTGAAATACAAATTGGCAAGAACTTTTCTAACCAATATGATAACTAATCGCAACTTTAAAAGTTCAAAATTAGGTGAAAGTGAGCTGAGCCAAAAACAAGTAGTCTTTCCCTAAAAGGGCGAAGTCCTATCAATTGCTTTTGGCAGTAAAGAAGCGGTGACGTTTAAAAGGGGTGCGAGTCGTTTTCTTCCAAAAAGAACGCCACAAATGGCAAGGAGAGTCCCATGGAAGAGATGGGAGACCTGAAGGGGACAACCTAGACCTCCCCTTGCCTTTTCTTGCTTTTCCTTGCCTTTCCTTGCCTTTCCTTGCCCTTCCTTGCTTTTCGCCGCTCTTCTCCTAATCGCGTATGTATGGGTGGGTGAGAAGGCACAAGTCGAAAAGGAAAAAGATGAAGGGGAGAACCCGTCCTTCTCGTTTTTGTCTTTTTTTTTGTGAGAAGCCCCTCCCCACCACCGGGACTCTTCTCAATTGCCGTGTTTAGCCTTCTCGACGAGCGCTCCTTCCTTCTTTTTCTTTCCTTTCTCGATGGGTAACAGATTGGGCCAATTATCGCCCCCTAACGGGCTATAAGGGAAAAAAAAGCCTTTTTGAGATGTCTATGTATCTACACCTAGCTTTCCTAAGAAGGGTAATGACTCGGATTCCTCTGAAATCCTCTTCAGGGATTGATGGATCGAATTTTTGATTAAAGAAACGTGAACTGACAAGGAAATGGTTTACGGTGAAGGATTGGATCGGTATGGTGATAGAAAAGGGGCTTTGGACATGGGGAATCCGATGCTACATTTAGTTTTTTGTCTAAAGCCCCTGGTTTTCGAGAAAACACGTTGCAAATTTGGGTGTCGACTGGTCGAACCTCTAGTTTATAGCAGTTCTTTTCTCTTTATTAAAGCAGGACCGAATAGTGTAATGGTAAGTGCGCGCTCGCAATCTCAGTGTCCTGTTTTGCTCACGGGTTCAAATACGCTCTGCGAAAAACTTTTTGCTTTCTTTTGCAAAACATTTTAAGATACTTTTTATCGACTTTGAAGTATAAATTGGCAATTATTTTTCATATTTGCTCACTTTACATATTCGGTTTTACATCTCACATATTGAATGGAAGGGAAAGAAGCTTTTTTAAACCAGAGTTTGACCAGTAGGCACTAGACATGGGTTTCGGGTCGGATCAACCCGACTTTTCAGCTAACTCGACTCAATGCTACGTCGTAAAATTTACATTTACAAATTTGATTCACATTTAGTAACAAATTTTATTAATAATCAGTTTTTTTCTCTATACTAACTAACAAAACTGACAAAACTTATCTTGAATAGCCATTTTTCCTATCATTTTATCATTAACTACACAAAAATACTCACCTTTTGATCTTTGTTGAGGTAGGCCTTGGAAAACTTAGCGTCGTGTGGACCAGCCGAACTCGGATAGACCGGATACCGGGCAACGTGGTTTAGCCGCTCGCATTTCTTGAGATTGGTATGCTGAAATGAGGAAAATTGCTCCTGGAAATGAGAACGAAATCAGAACAAACAAAGGATATGGATCAGAAGAGAAATAAGTCTATTTGATGGAATTTGGGAGAAGATACAGCTACCTTCCTTCCTTCAGCGGGCTAGTGAGGCTTTTTTTTTGAGGCTTTGCCCAACTTAGGGGCAAAGAGTGTGTGGAACAACCTTGCAAATTTGATTGCTCGTCTCTCAAAAGCATGGGAGTCGACACAAAAAGAGAGGATATACATTGAAGGGGAAAAAGAAAGGAAAGGCGGGAAAACATCTATGGATATTCAGGTGAGAAGATCTGTGGATTTGAATATAAATTCTTAATAATATTCATTGGCAAATGAAAGATTGGCTTTTGAGTTTTAGCTCAGGCTCAGCATTAGTCATCAGATCATCAGCATCAGCATTAGCATCAACATCGTCTAATAAAGCTAATATAGCGTCTAATATAGCGTCCACTTTTATCCTTTTTAGCAAGCCTTTGATGAACAATTGATGAATCAAAAACAAATCAAAAACAAACCATAGCTCGAATAATCCGTCTTGAAAGAGGCATCGGAATAGAGGAAAACCCGGAAAGCATGGTGGCCCATCGTCACACTGACTTGACTTTGAAATGGGAATGCTTTCCACACGATGTTTTCCTTGAGATGGACTCTCCCCATTCCCTAAGTCCCCAGAAATTATTCAAAATTGGCCTCACTAGGTGATGAGTGCCAGAAAAGAGGCACCGATAAGCCAAATCAGGCTGTGGGACCTTTCCGGGGGTGAGGGAGTGAAGCACCTGTCCGGACTTGAGACATTAGACATTTTATTATGCTGTTCAGAAAGTTTTATCATTAGTTATTAGATTTTGAGGGCTATTGCGAGTCCGTAATTCATGAAAACTAGCATCAAAACGGTAAAGAAAGAAAAAGGTAATCAAAAAGGTAATCAGAAAGGTAAGATGAAGGAAAATCTATGTGAAATTCGAGAAAAAGACAAAGAAAGTTGTGACAAAGAATTGTGGTAATCAATGCATTAAGAGACTTGGAATGTCGAAACGAGATTTGTTTGAGAATCTTGTTGGGACTCTTCTATGGAAGGAATTGAGGAGATGGCAAGGATGGCAAGCAACCACTTCATGGGAAAGACATTCTTTTTCTTTTCCCTTTCTCTTCCAGCTGCCCTCCTTGAGTGGCCGCGCTCCTTCGAAGGGATTTGTTGAGGACCTGAAGGGAGGGGAGGGGAGGGGAGCATCATTGGGATAAAAGATTCACCTAAGAGAAGAATTGAATGAATAAAGCTTTAAATTGACTACTTTTTTCCTTAAAAACTAGACTAGTTTTATGAAGTCTAACTAATAAACGCTTATGGAAAGGAAGAGAGGAAGAAAGGAAGAAAGGAAGGGCAGTTTGATCGAAGGAAAACCGTCTTTCCTCTAATAGTAGTGCACCTCCTTGAGCTGAGTTGATGACTGTTTTACACTTTCCAAGTTTTGGAGAAGATCAATATTTTAAGACCAACATCAAGATCTGAATCTGAGCTACATTTTCCGGCCCCACATCAATAAGTTCTGATCAGCGATTCTTGGAATTTCGATGAATTTAAGTGCATCACCACTAGAGGAAATATGGTAAAATAATCCTTGAAAATCTTAGCAAAAGTTAGCTGGATTTCAAAATCTGACTAAAGTTCGACAAGGCGAGGATTGAAAAGAGAAATCTTACAGCATTTGTGAGTCAATGGGAGGAGAGTCGCCGACAAAAGAAACGCCTTTATGCTCAATCATAATAACAGCTCCCATCCTCACACTAAAATCTCCCCAACTCGACAAATGGACTCATTTTCTCGGCTTCTTTGAACAGAAGCTGTTTTTCAGCTTTGAAAAGAAGCTGTTTTTTCCCAAAAACTAATCGCATCGATTGAAAGTTAGACTTTGGATAAAGGGAAATGTCATGTTTCTGTCGTCAAAAGATTGACATTGGACAGGAAGCAGTTGAGCTGAGATAAGAGATCAAAAAGAAAGATGAGTAGCAAGTTTTCAAGTTGAAGCTTGTCTGTGAGCAAGAGGAGAAGTTGCAT